TCGGGAGTATGCCCGTGATAAGGATTACAGGGCACCCCGGCTTAACAAGTTTGACGGACTAGCCAGGCCCAAGGCTGCAGGGTGCTTCAGCCAACCCATCCGAACGGCTCATACTCAAGAGTAGCCACGGCCCACTCATGTACACCGGGACATAACTCATCCGGTGGGACGGGCCGGCAATTTGGCCGAGGAGCTACTTGCTAAATATGTTGAACCCTGTCAAGGTCAGTCCGACAATTCCGAGCCCATGGTGGCACGTCACCGGCTGACTCCGAAGAAGTTTCTGGCCAACTTCTGCAAACAGTTTCTTGGAAGCGCCCACGAAATGCTTCGGCAATTTCTGGAGCGAAGGATGCGAAAGGATGAGCGAGTAGAGGACTACTAGGCCAACGCCCTCTTCGCCCTCCGCTGAAGAATCCACCCAAGTACTAAGCATTCTGTTTCTAATGCGAAGTACATCGATGTGTACTTGGACGGGCTTTCCCAGAACATTTCGGAATTTGTGGGCTCGCATATTGATGACGAGGTCTCCCTGTCAGACGTGGTGGAACATAATATTTGCCGGGAAGACTAGCTTCGATGGGCTAAAAGTATCCAAAAGCGGAGAAGTCGAGCGTGTGCGGCTGAGGAGGACGAGTCGGACGATGACTCGGCAGAATCCTTTCAAAAGACTATCAGAAAGTTGGATTAGGTATTACAGAAGAACCTCAGGGATCATCAGCCATCAGGAACCGGTGCAAAGACCCGCCGTAAGAAACGCTTGTTTTGTGGCTACTGTGGCAATACCGGTCAAGCCACAAGGGATGTGAGGAGGAGAGATCAGCCAGTGACGAAGTTGATGACACCAACTTAGTCATGGCTGTGGAGCGCGTTGTGAACACACACAAAAGCACTATGAGGAAGCCCTGTCACAAAACCCGGTCAACTGGAAGGGAAACCTCGTCCAACAGATTGGATGAACCTTCCGACTCAGACAATTCCTTAACTACAAAGCAGAATTGCCTGTGGGAACACTGGGATTACCGGTTTGACCCCCCGTTTGATAATGAACCCGGAAAATCTGGCAGCGATGGGGAAATGGACCATGTTGATGTGCTGATGGTTAAACGAGTAGCCGAGGATGATTCGGGCGCTGCCAAACGATAGGCTGGTTCCAGGAGGGACGATACCCCACCGGCAATCCCCCGCTGTACATCTAGCCGCCTAGCGTCTAAAATGCAGGCCCAGAGCGTTAATGGGGTGCTAGGTACTAGCCATGATCCAATGAACAAGGGGCGACCGCTAGATGCGCCTGACCTAAGGACGCATGCTCCCACGGCCGATAAAGGTGCCAAAAATAAGTTTGAAGCAAAAGCCATAGATGTGGGAACCTAAATCCCGCAGCAGGGTACTGGCTGTATGGGACATCAAGCCACCCAAGCATAACCTCCTCAGCGCCTGGAATTTCATTAGTAATGCTATCCAGATAGTACACACTAAGGACCTGATGGCACAAGTCCCAAAATGCTAGGAAGATGCGTACTGTGGCCTAATGTTGATAAGACCTAAAGGCGCCAAATTCCCCAAGTACCAGAATTAAGGCCTATTGATGAAACAATGAAAGAGGGTGTGGCGGAGGATAGTGACTTGGGTGACCTTAATATTGTGATGGAAGCCAAGGAGGTTGATCAGGAAAACAAGTCGCCACGACATACCATATGCACCCATCAGGATTGAGATGCACAAGATCCGGGCTATTGTAGACATTGGGGTTACCTAATGTGTCCTTGCCTCGATGAAAGCAGAAGAATGGGGAATGCTATCGGACATACTACCGCTAGTGTCTCGCTCCAGACTGGCTTCCGGTGAAGTCAAAACGCCTGATGGATATATTCTGAGGCTGTAAGTCCAAGTTGGAGGTGTTGCTCTCAAAGTTGGGGCTCACGCAGCTTGGACCAAGACCTATGAATTTCTGTTGGCCGTCAATTGGCTGAAACCTGCAAGGCTGAGATTAGTTTCAACAACAATACCCTCACCTTCGAAAAGAAGTGTGGCCGGGTGGGTTCAGTCAGCATTACCTGTGATCAGGAGGCCCTAAAATCCAAAGGGGACAAAGGAGAACGGCTCAGGCCGGATACCCCTCGTTGTGCAATTAAGAGCGTTTCCGCCCTTTCTTACTCATTTCCAAAGGCCTTTAAAGTGCAAATTTAATCCGTGAAATGGGCCATTTTGCAGGCACATCGGACAATTCACTATGCAGTTGACTGTCTGCGCGAGAACCCCAAACGTGCGGGGCCGCGGACTCTGTGTGAACTTGTTCCTGTCATTCCTGAACTGTTCCGCCTCAGTGCCTTCACCGAACACCCAGCGGCTGCTGGGGGCCGATCCCAAAGCGAATCGCTGGGGCTACCTTGCATCGAATGGGCGCTTGCCCTGGCAAGCCCACAACGCGTCCGCGGAGAGTGCTGGCAATGATCTGCCAGCCACTGACAAGGAGGCGCCCATCGGATCTGCCCCATCGCCGACCCATGGCTGCGACAATGGTGTCGATCATGTTCACAACTGGAAAACAACATCACATAAACAAGTGGTCCCTCTCAACACATGACCAATCCCTGCCCACACATAAACAATTCCTTCCTTTGGTCAAGGCAGGAAGCTCTTTGGGTGCTTACCTTACCATCCTTATCACAACTTCTATAGACTCCCAAATGGGATGGAAAACAAGAAAAAGAGAAGAAAGAAAGAAGCAGCAAAGTGCCCAAAATGCTGGGGAAGCGCTATCAAAACTTTTCCATATAATTGTCAACAATTTAACTTTTTGAGAGCAGATCCAGGATATGAAAGCCCACGCCCTGGGGGCACCATGCTGCCCTGTTGCTCTCCTCTGCACCTAACGATTTCTAGAGCTTCAGTGGCCTTCAACCAGCATGGCCACCCGAACGATCCCCCTTCTGGCATGGAGGGCCATGCTCACTGACTTTGTAAGCCCACCAACGCCTGGATAACAAGATGCGAGATCGTGAGGGCGCTCCCCATCGCGATTCAATGGGAAACCAAGCTCATTGTCCAAAGAGTAAGGATACCAGAGGAGGAGGGGGTCTTGTTTCCCCTCGCACAACCATTTGCCCTTGACGTCTGGAGAGATGAGAGGGCGTTGTTGCAGCAGCGAGGTCAGGGAGTAGATGCCGAAGTGCAGGAGGGGTATAGCGTGGTGGCTATGGAGTCAGAAGTACTAGAAGGTGTGCGGGAGCAGGTGGAATTCACGAGGGAAATCATTGTAGCGCGCCGTGAGGGTTGGCAGCCAACCAGCTATATGAAGCTCAGGGAAGTGCTGCACATGATTGAGGAGTGGGTGTGCAGCCATGGGGCGCATGACCTAGAGTTTGGAATCATTCAGCACACTTTTGGAAAGAACTTGCTAGAAGCAAAAATGACGATCAGAATGCAGCGCCAACTCGGCCAGTTGTGGTTTCAGGAGTGCGCGGATGAACATGGTCATCTGAGGAACCCCGCGCAGCTATGGGACTTGCTTTTTGAGAATCATCACGATATAGTGATGTTTTATAATCCAGTTTCGCGTCCTGGGACATGCGAATTCGCAGTCCAAAGGGACTGAGAGGGGGGCGCGGCATGGGCTGTGGGAATTCTGACATGAGAGGTGCACGTGAGAGCCTGAAACACTGAACAAACCTCTTGCTGATTTGGTGTTGCGTCGCTTGACTCTGTTGTTGGATGGTTTCCTTGGGAGTTTTGAACACTTTCACTTAGAATCACTTTGGGAGCGAGTGAGCCAGGTTGTTGCCCCTAGCTAGTTACTCAAAGGGGTTGCCCACGCTAGGGGGCGGACTGGACCCTATACGGTGCAAGTCCTGGCAGTTGCGATGAAGGATTTGCATCCTTACCGTCTCCAGTTGCCTGCTGGTCGGCTTGAACTGCTGGTTGGAAACGACTAGTCCTCTAGCATATCGAATTCAGGCGCTTGGAATCCTGCATCGCTGACGGTCGGTGGTATCGACCATCGATTCGACTCGGTGTCACAACATGTGATTGAGGCGGATACGGCAATGACTAATCACCGTGACGGAGAAAGGTCTCGGGCGGGCGTGTGAGCTGACGCCCCCGGGATCGGATGCAATGCTGCATTGTGAGTCATAGCACATGGGCGATTCAGAACTGGCCTTGGTGTGCATATGCTTGTAGTATCTGCGGGCGGCTGCCAACCATGATGTGGATCTGTGGGGGCTATGGTGGGGATGTGTCAATTCACATATCGCGGGGTGGAGTGCACGCATACGATATTGTTCTATCGCGGATGTGACTCGTGTCGACGGGGGCTGTGATGGGTGGAAGTTGCTGGCCAGCGTGGCATGTACGAGGCCTGGGCTGGGAATCACGTAACCATAGCAGAGGATGGATCAGTCGTGGCTGGCGTGCCCTTATGTGTATGACCGATCATACCAGCGCCCCGTTGCCGCTACTGCCTCATGTGAGGTGCAGACAAGGGAGATCACCGATGGTAAAGTGACCGGCATAGTATTGCCATCACTATGTACTACTATGGGTACGACGGTGCACATAACGCTCCTTTAAGTACTGGAACACAGCCAATGGGTTTGGGGGGTAATTCGGGACACGCCGCTGGCTCAGTGGGGTGAGTGCGTGGAGTACTACCAGCTGCACAAAGTACTGAGAGAAGTAATGCGTATTCTATGGCAGTGGGTTGCATCCAAGGGAGCTGTGAAGAAGCTTCCCTTCAATCTTTGGACATCATACTCGTTTGTCAACCAATTTTGCGAGCACGGTGTGACAGAATGTAATTGTCCCACAATACTTTGTTCACCACCCAATCCCACCCACAGGCCCAATACAGGCCCAAACATATACAAAATACAAGGAAAACAACCAGAATGACCAGGTTTGCCTTACCCCAAGCGGGCACACAACACCATTCCCTGGCTCCAATCCTCGCCTGCCTGCCACCCCCCCAACCCCCACCCGGCAGCCAATCCACATCTGCTTCACTGTTTTTGCTCAATGCGCAGTCGCTTTTGAACCTGCCCTTCCCCACTGCTGACGCCCTTCTCACCATCGCCAGATTCGCTGCCACTCTGACTGCTCCCCTTCAAAAAGACAGCTAGGTCAGCCACGTCGCACTTCCAGGCGTTACCCCTAAGGGAAGATACTATTTTGAGTTTGGTACACTCAACAACAAATGAACGCTAGGTTCCGAACACCCCCTCTCCTTAGCGCCCATCCTTGTTTCAATGCCAGGATGACTAACTAACAATACCTAATAGTGTGATACACTTACAAGATGTTTTAAGGAAAACAAAAGGTCGGAGTGTAGCGATCTTAGGGGATCCAAAAATGGGGTGCCGAAAGCCATGAGAAGCAATGGGAGCAGCCCCAAAAGTTGCGATGAGAACCGTTCTAAGGATTTTCTTGAAGATTGAGTGCTTTAGGGATATTTTGGAACAAGTCATGCTCTGTTTGACGCTGATCAGAGGCATTCTGTGCATCATCTGACCTTATTTGCTTTTTGTGCAATTGCATATCCTTTAAGCGTCCATGGCCTGGAACCCCCACCCCCCAATCGCGTCCATTTGATGCTAAGCGTACAAAGAGGAAAAGTACCTTCCCTGAATAAATCCTTAGATCCCACCAGCTAGGAGCAATACAGAGCACTGCATTGATTCAGCACTGTGTCCTTCGCAGCAATGCCTGAATCAATGCTTGCATGGAGCAATAAATTCAATCTTATTATTTAGTCCTCTCAGCAGAGCTAAGTGGACGTAAGGAAATCACGCCATGCCAGTAAAGACAGACAGAAGGGAGGTGCGCACCAGCCAACAAGGATTCTACTGTAAGTGAACTGCTGTCAAATCGTCTATGCTCAAGTTCATCTTCGGCATGTCACAGCCATAAACTTTGTCCCTGGGTCACAACAGTGTACCCTATGCGCTCTGGAAAGTACATTCCTATGGAATCGTACAGCCTCCGTGCGAGGCAGCTGGTACATCTCCATTTACCACGCATCGGTCAATGCAATCTCAACAGCCAGCAGCAGAAAAATGACACCAAGTTCGTTCCCAATCATACAGCGCTGCAAACTGCTTTGTGCAAATTGCTGAATGGAAAACATTTCGCAATTTACAATTCCAGAAGTGCCAATTTGCACACAGCAGATTGACAGCCAAGAATGCAAACCAATCATCGAAGCAGCGCTCAGCAATGCGGCCAAGCACACCACGACAAAGCTCACCACTGACAGCTGGATATCCATTGCTGGTAACGGTGAAGTCTCGATCCTTATCGATCCTTTGAGCGCTTGACGTTGGCTTCCATGGCGAACGACGTCACTGCAACGTTTGGATATGGCCTCCTGCTCAACACACGCAATGCCACAGCAATGTCATGCCCTTCCATCTCGAAATTGTAGTGGACTGGGTGCTGGGCTGCCGGATGCACATTCGCTGGGGCCAGGGGCTGTTCGACACGACCAGCAGAATTCTGTCGGGCAGTGACAAGGATGCAAAAACTGTTCCAGGTTCGCAGTTTTTCGCAGCAACACAGCTGCCGCAGTCCTTGGCCCTTGTGCATCACAAGAGCGTGGACATATACAAGGCATTGGTTGCAACATGACAAAGTATCAGGCAGCTGTGTCGCTTTACGTTGCTGCAAGTAACGCACTGGCAAATATCTGCCTCTGCGAGTCCTCTTGCAGCACAACTGCTAAACTTCGCATCAGAACTTCTCAGATCCATTGTATATCACCCACGGTCGCTGCACGCCTGTACAGTTGGCAACGACGTCGATTTCGGCAGCCTACATGGTATCAAAAACAGAGATATTTCATGCCACACGTGCATTCTAGATCCAAGGTCACAATTTTAGGACAACTGCTGCACTCACCTTGGCCTGCTGCTGTTTTAGGCCCAAAAGGGTGGAGAGGTTGATGACATCATGCGGGCCTCGCATCGCCATTCCCGAAGCTGCACCACTGCTAACAATGATGCCCTGTGGTCGCAACATTGGTATCATCCATTCCGCATCATTCCACCCAGGTGGAAAGGACTTTGGGACTCCGGCATCTGCTGTGATCGTATCTAGCATCTGGATATATGCCCAACATCGTCTTGGAAGTGAAAAGATCTTTTCTGCCCACTTTCCACCAAACACAATCAACGGATTCACATTCACACAGGCGTCGCCAAAGCACTGCTGCGTTGAAACTGTGAATCCACGTTTGGCTTCAAGATAGGATGACAAATCACTGACCTTTTCCAACGAACGGCAAACAAGACGGACAACACCAAGATTTTCTCTGCATTCTGTTGCGCAATGGGATGTGCTGCATTTCATGTTCTTCTATCAAGCCACGATAGTTGGGACGATCACTATTGGGATAGAGTGTCATTCACCCTCCATTCAGAAGCCCCCCAAAACAGCACAACAAGCAACCACGTCCCGAAAACACTGATTGGGGCACTTCACCATGTCGTAAAAATGGTCTGCAAGTTTCCAGTGCAGAAGCGAGCCAGAAAACTGGCAGCATCTTGGCATTCAGGTAGCCTGTGTCAGTATTTTGTGACCACGTATGAGAGTACTAACAGCTGACCATAATGTCACCCTTGCCCCCATGTGCGACTAGTGTGGTTAAGTCCCACATGGACATTTGCGTTGTACTCACAAGAGCAGTTGATTAATGCGTCAGAAATGGAGTACTGGGCTTCAAAATTTTTAGCGCACAACACTCTGCTCGATACAATATCAGGCGACTTGTTGGCACAGCAAGCGACCCCTTGTTCAGTCTAACTCCATGTAGGTACGTTGTGTTGCATTGCTAATAGAATATTACGGAGCATATCATCACATGCAACAGCAGTTCTTCTTACCAGTATGCATGGTGTATATTGTCCCCATTGACAATGTTCAGCTTATCCATTTTCTACATTGATACATACACATACATCAAATTCGACACGAAAAGTACACTGTCACATGATGGCGCTGTCACCGTGTTTCAACAGCACGATATGGTGCCCAATGAAGGGGCGAGGTCGTGAATGACGTTATTTTCTTTTACTATACGTCTACACTATACCTAATGCGCATGACATACAGAGCCTAATAAATACTTCAACATGCATTTATTTTCTGCCATCTCTGTCCTCAGCTGGTGGAGCATCTGCTGCGCCCATACGATAGCACCCTCACTCCACATCATCCTCAACGTTTCACTGGTTGATGGTAGCGAAAGTTTCTTACAACTGAGGCGGTGTATTCCGGGAGACTCGCAAGTGTTCTTGATTTCTTCAGTGCCGAGTGACAAAACCCACCTTGCCCCACGTCAGTTGAGTAAGACGTTTCGCGTTGGCGAATGCGTTGCGGCGTGCAGCACCACCCTGCAGCAAGCCTGCGTAACACACCTGCATGAAAGCATGAAAAACGTCGTCAAGCACTTTCCTTGCCCTGATCAATTTGACAACGTGAAAAAGAGCATTGCCTCTGATCCCCATGCCCTCGTTTTCCCAGCAAATGCGGCTCGATTTTAGCCAGTGGCAATGACAGCAGATTGAGTGTTCGGTGTAGGCAGAATGAAACACTCAGACCTTGATGCCAATCGCCAAAAGGCCTTGAGGACGCTGGGACTCCCACCAGGCATTTTGATTGACTGCCACTGTTCATGTCAGCATGCACCACAGATAGGAGTCGGCCATCGAATCATTTGTTACAAATTATGCATACAGCATGCGAAATGGATCATTTGAATACTCTGCACAATCCGTTACAAATAGGTAAAGTACGTAAGATACTCGCCTTAAGAAATTAATAATCGAAGTATATGCCTTCAAGGCGGTGCTACAGTAGGAAAATGAATAGTTGCTCAACAGTGGTCTTTCAAGCAAACGGTTTCATTCAATGCAGAACAGAGAAAGCATGAAGTATGCGATTCAATGGACTGTAAATTAAGGGGATTGCACTTGCGCTGCTTTTTCATTCTTCCTTTCTTATGACATCGTCTGCTGTGGAGACTGAGCCCTGCATGCCCTTAGATAGTACCTATATTGTACCTTGTACATTGTACCTTGTGTATTTTACCTTATATATTTTGCCTCGCACATTTTACCTTGTATATTTTAGCTTGCATTGTACCCATCCTCGTTTCTGTTCGAATCCAAATAATGCAGCCCATACCAGCTGCCCAAAACGTTAAGAGCCTGATTCTTCAGATCAATGTTCACACCATTGTCAGTTGTACTTAGGTGCTGCCCAAGTTTTGCCGCCAGCTTCGCACACACCTCAAAATGTATGCCACGCTCAAGCGCCCTCCTCATGGCTTTCTGATGCCATTGAAAAGGCAGACGACCGCTGATGTCCACAGATATGAGGTCAACGTCGAGAGTTGTGCACGCCTGTAACAGGACGCCAAATAAACGTGCATCGCAGAGGGATCGCATAGGTGTAATCAGAAACTCCTAGGGCATGGTGAGTACAATTGCTCCACAATTGCGGGCAACGCGATATCCCTAGCACACAAACTAACATCAAAATAAAAACAAAATCAAAACCAGAACGAAGTAAGCCGCTGCTGCATGCAAGCCATGACCGTTTTCAAAGTGCAAGGGCATTCCTTTGTTCTGTGCTAGCAAATGCAACAAAAAATTTGATGAGTATGAGAGTTTGAACAATGATCTCAAACAATATGAATCGTAGGGATAGAATGCAGGGTCATCTTGCTGCAGCAAAGCCAGACATGGCTGGAAACACTGCCACACAGTGAGCCAGGCTCATTCCTACATGTGACCTCATATTTGAGGCATCTAACAATCTCTGGGTGGCCGATGGCTGCAGAGCAACAGCTGAAATGTGAATGACACTATGCCCATGGGATCCAATATTGTTGCAGTCTTCGTTCTGGCTGAAATGGTACGCAGCCTCTGGAGAAGGTAGTGCACCTGAAGCAGCCCCTGAAGAGTGCCAAGCATCATTGGCACCACGTTTCTGGCAGGCACACTATCTGCAGTACAACACGGAGTTCTGCTGTGCAATGGGAGAGCCTGTACACTTGAATACCCAAGGCATATGTCCAGAACCAGTACATTAGCCACAAAAAGTACACAGAGTGTTTTCATAGTCGGCTTGCAAAATTTGATCCTGTGCTGAGCTAGCAAATATGTTTTCAAACACTGTTGTGGAGTGGATTATGGCCATGATCAGGTCATTGCTAGGTGCCACATATGTCACATAAACTGCAAGAAATACCCTGTGTACTGAGAACTGGATGTACTGACTTGAGGCTTCGCAAGTCTGTTCACCAACATGATTGGTGTCTGTGCATAACTTAGGACAGCCCCAACAAAGTCCATACATTCACCAGTAGCAAATCGCCAGAAAGCAAACGTATGCCATTAGTGTTAGGAGTGCTTTGGACCTGTACATTACGGGCAACAACATGTTGTGTTGCGCTCGCTTGGGTGGCTGCAGTAACCGTCTGCCAAAGGAACGTCAGTTTCATGATGACGGCTGATAATGTCTTATGAGATCGAACATGGGCAAACCTGGCACAATGCAAACAGTTGATGCCCTTGACATCCATTAAAATGGACACTGGAACATGTTCTTTAGAGATGCACTCTGTTGTTTTGGGTATGCTCAGGGCCCAGCGGGTGCTCAATGGGGAAGGGGTGGGACTGTGGGTGCTAAAAAGCAAAGCAATAGCATTGAAACAAATTGCAGGCAGGGATGCCCTTTGCAGTGTTCCAGGAGGCGTCATGGACTTGATTTGCACTCCCAGATGCTGCCACATCTTTACAATTCGAAACACAATGCAGCATGGTGGAATATGATGGGTGCCATGTTGGAGGTTTGTTGGATTGGGATGTCCATGTAGTTTTAATATACTTGCAAATTTCAACTCCCAAAGGGCCTGCAAGTGCATGTTCAAAACTGGCCTGCTCATATTCCTCAAGCACTTTCTGTTGCCATGGGAAGTACTGTGTGATGGCAAAAACAACGTCTCAAAGAATTTAGGTGCGGCCGTATGTAGCTCCCGGCCCAACAGTGCTCCATTCTTGTTATTGTCACAGGTGGGGATTGCAGGGACCCCACTGTACTGAAAGTGAACAGGCTCAGCAACAGAGGTATGTCATTGATATATTGTCCACCTTCACCCACCTGTTTAAACACTGCATCATTCTGTGGCTGTACGGACACAATGTCATAGGCTTCCAGTGCTTTGTTTCTTGCTGTGAGAGCCTGAGCCTGCGTTTGTTATTGCACAATCGTGGTCTCAGACAGCCAGAAACAAGCAACCCACTGGGGATGTGTTTCTTGACACCGAATTTTCAGGCTTCAATGCGAGGCCTACAAATCAATACAACCAAACCGAATCGCATCGCACATCTTGTACACTTCTTGGGGCAGCCTTCAAAAGAGACTGGAAATAAATATGCAAGCTTTACTGTTCGGAAAGCAAGGAAAGCCCGACGATGTGCTGATCTCAGGCATGGGATGCGCACTTGCTGGACGTCGTCAGTGACCAATGTTATCCTTGTCAGCTGTCGGATGCTCCTCCGCTGGGCCCCAAGCGCTTGGCACATCTGTAGCGCCCTTTTGATCCCTGGGCTTGCAGACTCAAAGGCATCTTGTTCGCTTACAGCCTCAGGTGGGCACCTGGGAAACAGAGCCAGCCCAGTTTAACACACACTGGACAAAACGTACAGCAATTGCTCCTAACTCTATCCCCAATCTGAACAAAGAAAACACAGAGGCAATCAAGCTGCTCACCGAAAATGCAGACCCGGCGGCGGTATTTAGTGATCACATGCTGCAGGAGCTTGAGCCGGCTCTGAATCGATTCCAAAGTCCAATACATGCATTTTTGCACAATTCAGCATCCATCATCAGCATCACTGGGGAATGGGTCTCGGCGTCTGAGAACGATCCGTAAGGCGACGCTCGCTCTAATGCAGATGGCAGAGATTTCCAGCCGCCTTTATTCAGGGAACGGTGAGCTGCGTGCAATTTCGTGCGACGCCGCATCCACCATCCACCATCGCATCCACAGGGTCGGATGCAGCAGGCGCCGCTGCCAACCTGTAGGCCTGCTGCGAGGACAGCCTGCCCACCACCACGCGAGCGTTGGCGACGCAGTCGAATCCCAGGCCTGCCGCAGTGGCAAGTCGCTCGCGGCGGACGCGCAGGTCCAAGTCCCCGTACTCGTGGTTCAGGTCGTAGAACATTTTTCATCGCCCTCTGCAAATTGCATCCCTCTTCAGCATTCCTTATGCGGTGATATTGGAGTGACTGGTCCATGATTGATAGATGGCTCGATGATTGTGGATGGACATGCCTGTCCGCGGTCTCTCTGTAACTCTGTTCCCTCGGCTGTGTCTCCAAGCCCGTTGCCACGCCCGCCTCCGACATTGTCCCGCCCCGACCGCAGGGCATCATCGGCGATGGACACTCACTGACGAGCTCAGTGACGATTTTGGCAGAGCGACGTTTGGCACAAACCATTTCCTATCTAAACCATGTACCTTGTGCAGTTTGCAAATATCGTAGCCATATCGGAGTCAATGAAATGCTGACTCCTCCTTCACAGCGCTGTGGTGGGGGCCAACGTGTCCGTTTGGTGGACGACGGCAAAGCCAACTGTGAACTTGTGGCATCCGGTGCCCAATCAAACAGAAAGCTTATGAGGCTCAATCTTCCTAATGACGGTGTGACGTCCCCCAAGCGCAATAAGGTGCAGAAGTTCACAGCTGCTGCACCTGCGATTAGGGGAGCGCATGGAGGCATCGTCGTCAAATTCCTGGGAGCACAGGCCAAAGCGGCCCAGGAACAATGTGTACAGGACACCGCTGGGCCCTGAAAAGATAGGAGAAAGACCATGCAGGGGATTTTTTCTGTAGCGCAGGTTCGCTTGCAATGAATAACGAGAGCGGTGGGGCGTATGAATACGTAAGGGCGGTTACTGAGCCTGGATAGCCATGAATTAAAAGAGATGTGTGTGAAAATGCACAAATGGTGCAGTTGATTGTTGATTGTCTTCGGATTTGCATGTGCGCTTCACATGTATGTGAACTGTACACATTTTTCGTTGTGACAGCGAAAACGTTGTCATTTAAAAATAGCCCAGTAAAGAGCGGAAACCGTCCTGCAACAAACGGTTGCTATGGGACTCACAGAACCAAGAGTTCTGAATTGCAAATCTAAAATTCTGCAAGATGCATTCATAGGAATGGTACAGCATAAAAGCTGCAACATTGTCCATGGGCTGTGCCATCCTCAGCTGATTGATCATATGTTGCTATAGGGACGCTGCCGAAACTTCTGAATGATAATGCGGCCCCGCATAGAAGATGCCATTTCCTAGCAGTTGCGAGTTGGCGAGTCTGATGATGCAGAGAATGGCGTCGTATCCACAGTGTCGGCGCTGAATGCAGCTGGATTTCTGTTGCTATTTCGATGTCAGAATCGCCTCATTTCTGTGCGCAATCATTCAACCAAGACTGTTAGGGATCACGATATGTTGTTTACACCAGACGTCTCCCACATACGTATATGGATGTAGTATACAACACTGATTTTTGGGTATTACTTCCTCGGTCCCATATTAATTGTCTTATATGAATTTTGGTGCGATTTCTCCATCGTGCCTACATCAGTTTTCAATGAAATATACCCCAAAGGCGTGTTTGTGTGGTTGGAGTATACTGTCAAATTTTATGTCAATCCATTAAGTATTGAGGATTTGGCAGTATTTTGTAGCAAAGGTGCTCTGGCCGCAAAAGGGTCGTTCTTGAAAATTGCGCTGAAACCCAACATTTTGTTTGTTTTGAGGAGCACATCTTTGCAACAGCGAAACAAACCCTCTCTTGCACAACTATTCGCGACGTTTAGAGTGGAATTCCTTAGGTTGCCTTCAAAGATGTACAGTGATAGTGTAAGGGGCGAATGCCCTTCGAGGCTGGACGGGACTCGGCCCGTTTACCCGTTCGACTTGGGTTCCAGTCGGAGATGAACTTGACGGTAAGTTTTCTGGTTACAGAAGTGTTCCGGTGTTCCCGTTTATATACCCCATGTCCAAGGCAGCCCAGGGGTCATGCCAGAATTGGGTGAGTCACCCAGATTCTGGCATACCCGCCCAGTTTGTAATTTGAACCTCTCCGATTCATGTCCGTTCGTCTCACCGACCCGTGGGTGCTCAGCGCCACCCTTTACCGTATTGACCAATACGGCAGTCATCCCCTTTATCTATTTCATTATCACCCAGCCCAGTTGTCCTTAGTAAACCCTACTATACAGCGCTTCTAAAGAGTCCCTATTGTACAATGCCCAGTGCCTATAATATACAATGTTTCTCCCGTGTTAATATACAAGACAAACCCCCTTTCTTGTGCTAATGTACATACCCCCTGCGGTTTCCCCTCACATTCTTCCCCCCCTGCTACGAAGCGTCCTCGCGAGTCATTCGTCATCTTTGGATGCTCCGGCAGGTTGGAGTGGTGGTACGCCGCTGGTCGTCCCATTCGTAGATTATATGGCTCAGATCCAGCTGCCGCCCCAGGCTGGTTGAACCCGAACTGGCCACCGGTACCCCTCGGGTGTCGTCGTCTCGCCGCCCGGCGCCTTATTCTCTTTCTCGTCGCTGGTCCACCATCGCCCTCCTTGATGTAGGGTCCAGTCACCCCCCCAATGGGGCTGGACGATGTTACGCCACGGGTCGTCATCCCCGCAGCCTCCCGCCACTCGTCGCAACCGCTTGCTTGTAGGCGACCGCGTCCACGTGACACTCCAGGAATCTCGCGGCCCCAACCCCCGTTTCTTGGGTTTTCCCGCGGGTTGCCACTTGGACTGGTCTCGGATGGTTGTGCCCGACTCGTCGCTGGCTGCCCCCGCCCAGCCGCGCCCCCTCGTCATAGGCGGGACGTCCTGGCCGATGTCCAGCTCTTCGCCGCTGTCGGAATCGTCACCGGAGCCCCAGTTTACAGGGCTGTCCGGGCGTGGCCGGTTCACCAGCCCCAAATGGCGGCGCAGCTGTTCCGCCGCATTGCGCCTGTGGATGCGCCTGTAGATCTCGATCCAGTCCTCGGCACCGTGCGCCATCTTGTCTTGGACGGGAGCCGCGAGGTGACGGGCTGCTGGCTCGGGGTGGTTGAGGGCGGCGGTCAGTAGAAGGGCGGTAGCCAACACTCCCGCCAGTCCTATAAATAGGGCCATACTGCTCAGGACCCTTCCACTTCGTCGTACCCTGTCACTGGGAAGCGCGGCAGTCCTTGCCATGCATATTTCTGTCACCGCCTTCTCGTCTGACGGGTCAGGCGGCGCCGGCTCGCAGTTGACGCCTTGACCCTCCGCTGACGTCCTTTGATCCGTCGCGCTGGACCGCCGCACGACCATCGTAATACGTCTCCTGAGGCGTCTCCTTGCACGCCGTTTCTTCGCCTGGTCCTGTCCCGTCTTCGTGGCGGGCGTGTTTCCTTGTGGTACAGCTCTTGCCTTGACGCCCGGTGTCCTGGCCGTGATGTCCGTGAAGCTGCCACCGGGACCGCCGTTCTCGTCCAGTTGGTCGGCTGCACCCTGTGGAGTCGTCACCTTCGCTTCGACGTCTTCCACCGCCACGTTGTTGCTCAGGCATTTGGTGACGTCTTTGTCGTTCTGGTCCCCTTCTCTCCTCGTTTTGCAGCCGTCACGGTTACCAATTCCAGCAGACTTGCCTTGGTCATTATCGGTGATGCAGACGTCCTTGACGTCCGCGCAGTTGGTGACGTCTTCGCTCCTTGTTTTACAGTCGTCACGGTCGCCATTTCCTACGGCCTTGCCTTGGTCGTTTTCGGTGATGCTGACGTCCTTGACGTCCGCGTAGTTGGTGACGACTTTGCTCCTTGTCTGGTGGTTGTCCCGGTTGCCAGTTCCAACGGCTATCTCTTGGTCGGCTTCGGTGTTGTAGATGTCGCCGGTGTGTCCCTTGGCGGTTATGCTGACGTCCCAACCCTTTGGAGCTGACGGCGCTGTGTTTGCCTCGCCGCAACTTCCCTCCTGTTCCGTTCTTTCTTTGTCGGTATACTCGTAGCGATCCTCACCACACGGGTCACCGTCCAAACCCATCCGATGTTGAGCGCACCACTTCAGCCGTTCAGTTGGGTCGAAATCCACATCCAGCCGCTTGAGTGTGGTGTCATCCAACGGGGTGACGTCCTCGGTACCAGCTTCGTTGTCTCCCTCTTCACTCAGCGCCCCCTTGCTTCCGGCTTGTGCGAGTTCGTCAGGTAGTTTCTCTCGAGGCACCTGGTGGACGGGCCACACCCTCTCGTCGTCCACAACAATGGCGTGTTCGTCCCATTCGAACCTTGGTTGGGCCTCGAGCAGCCACGAGATGCCCAGGATGGCATCGAAGTGGCACAAATTCATTTCGGTAGCCTCCACCTTGGTGATGGATGGGCCCAGCTCGATTGTGAGACCTTTTCGAATTGGGCACTTGCCTCGAGTCGTCCCATCTGCCAGACAGATTGTCGTCGAGTTCTCTGCCCCCCCCGCACTTGGCAATCCCTCGAGGAAGGCACGGTTGATGAAGTTCATAGTTGCCCCAGTGTCAATTAAAGCGAGCCCCGGTCTTCCTTGTATCTTGACTTCAAAACATGGCAGCGTCGTTGTAACCTTTGTTCGGCTGCTGATGTTACCGCAGTAGTTGTCGTCTGGCGTCTCGAGTTCAGCGAATTCTAGGTTGGTCACCGTGTGACGCCTCTCGCCACCATGACGTTTGTCATCTCTTGGTGCCACTTTGTGTTCGCCGGGTCGCCATTTCGTGGCGCAATTCTTGGCCACGTGCCCATAACCCCTGCAACGATGACACTGAATCTCCTGGGGTCGTCCATTCTGTATGTTATCCACCTCCATCGGCGTAGGTCCCGCTCGAGGCACGGGACGTGCTATGGGCCGTTGTACTGGTGCGCCAACTTGGCTTCTTGTGGTCCCGTTGATCCTGAAGAGAATGTCATCTGCCCGCAGTGCATGACTCATTGCTTGTTGAAGGTTTTGTGGGTTGGCTCTTTCGACGTCCAGTCGTACCGCCGCTTTTAATCCGCGCTTGAATCTGTCAAGGCACTCGTCGTCACTGATCCCTTTGATGCGCGTCTTGAGATCCATAAACTTTCCAGTGTAGTCCTCTACACTAGTCTTCTGGACGAGCCTCGCCAGTTCGTCACGTGCCTTCTGCCGGTCGTTGGTCGCCCCAAACTGTTCCTCAGCCGCTTGAACAAATTTTTGCCATGTTTGGATAGCTCCCACTCCATGTGCTTCCACTAGGTTTTGCCACCACAGGGCAGCTGCTCCTCGGAACTGACTGGCCGCAAACTCCACGCAGTACGCCTCGTCTTGGACGTGCATCAGGCGTAGATATTGTTTGACTTGAAATGCCCATTGTGTGAAGGTTCCCTGACGTGCGCCTTCGTATGTCGGTGGTTTGGTTGGCTTGACGGTCAGCAGGGCTGGCCGCTCCGGCTGCGGTCGTGTCCTGGCATCGGCCAGCGATGCGGCAGCTGCTACTGCCTCGTCCAACTGGTTCTGCATTCGTTGGTTTATCTCGTTTTGTTGCACTTCCACATGTCGCGCCAGCTGATTACACCTGTCGCCCAGTACTTGCTCGATGGCCACTTGCAGTTGGTCAGGCGAAGCTTGTGACGGGCTTGGGGACCGGCTGTGTACACTCTGCGGTTGGCTCATGTTGTTTGGTTCTGTCTTGAGGTTCCCCTTCTTGGTTTTTCCTTATGGGTCAGTCGTCGACCGACGTTTTTGTGTCGTTTCGCGCCTCGGGTCGTCACCCGATGCTCCGGCGCTCCCTTTCTCCGGTTCTTGGCTCCTTACGGTTGTCACAGTTGGGCAGCCCGCGTCACTGACGTCTCTCCTGACGAGCAGCTCCTGACGCCTATACCCTCGTTCTTGAAACTTCTCTTCCCTCCGCTTTTCTTAATTCGCCCTCGGGGCAGGCCTTTACGGGTGACGTCTCCGCGCGTCCAACCTTCGTTGCCCTCGGGGCGGCCTCTTCGCTGTCGCACTCCGGCGCACAGCGGAACGAACCCTGGTGCCCTTGGGGCAGGCCTTGCGGCTGACGTCTTCGTGACGTCCAGCCCTCGTGCCCTCGGGGCGGCCTCTTCGCTGTCGCACTCCGGCGCACAACGGTACTCGTCCACTCTCTTCTTCCGGGCCTCGCGCGCAGCTGACGACTTCCCGACGTCCGGCTGTGCCGCCCTTCAAGGGAATCCCAGCTCTCCTTGTGCCTTGGTGTCCCGCCGCCTCAGGTCATGGGTCGGTCAGCACGAAGCGCCGCCTCCTTGGGCACTCCGCTGGCTCTAAAACCAGTTGTAAGGGGCGAATGCCCTTCGAGGCTGGACGGGACTCGGCCCGTTTACCCGTTCGACTTGGGTTCCAGTCGGAGATGAACTTGACGGTAAGTTTTCTGGTTATAGAAGTGTTCCGGTGTTCCCGTTTATATACCCCATGTCCAAGGCAGCCCAAGGGTCATGCCAGAATTGGGTGAGTCACCCAGATTCTGGCATACCCACCCAATTTGTAATTTGAACCTCCCCGATTCATGTCCGTTCGTCTCACCGGCCCGTGGGTGCTCAGCGCCACCCTTTACCGTATTGACCAATACGGCAGTCATCCCCTTTGTCTATTTCATTATCACCCAGCCCAGTTGTCCTTAGTAAACCCTACTGTACAGCGCTTCTAAAGAGTCCCTATTGTACAATGCCCAGTGCCTATAATATACAATGTTTCTCCCGTGTTAATATACAAGACAAACCCCCTTTCTTGTGCTAATGTACATACCCCCTGCGGTTTCCCCTCACAGATAGAAAAGGCGTTTCGAATGCCTTGATCGTCGAACCCGCTGTGGCTTGCAACATCAATTCTGCCTTGATCTGGTGGATCGGAGCGATGTTCCGGACCCGGTTTTTTTTTGCCAAGGCTTTCCGAGATCCTTCGATACCATCAGGCTTGGTTTTGACGTTTATGTTTACGTTTCTACTTTTAACAACCTTTCATGCAAAATGTCGTTAGTGGATATTACACAAGTATAGAAATGGTAATGTTGCGCAACCTCAAAACATGTTTTTCTTTGATCTTGAGCATGTTTATTACATTATGGGTCTATTGCACATATTGAACACAATAGTTTTTATATTTTGCTTGGAAATCAAGATGTTGTACACTAATTCTGCTATTGGCTCACTAACGACATTTTGCACGAAATGTTGTTTTTTACGTTTTTACGTGTAAAAACGTAAATTTGCAAATGGGCCCATTTTATGGCTATTTTTACGTTTTTACGGCTCCCTGGGACACCCAGGTTACACTATGAAGGTTGCTTACAATGATTAGTCATTCGCCATCTCCAGCACCCGCAACACAATGCCCACCTTGCCCTTGGCAAGGGCGATGATGGTGTTTAACAAAGACTCGTTTTATGCCCTTTCCAGGGCGTCTGGCTGCCAGTCTCCGGACTCCGCAAGTCTGCATGCACTGTCCTTATGTACACCGGGCAGTTTTTACGTTGTATTTACGTATTTTTACGAATTTTTACCCGTGAGAACGTAAATACGATCAGTTTTTACGGCGTAAAAAACAAGCCTGGATGCCATCAACGCAACTAAGGGAGGTCTCCCAATCCTTTGAACAAGGAGCCAGAGATTGTGATGGCCATCGCCCTGATATGGCACGAACAACTACGGCGTTGGGCATTGCCATGGGAATGGCGATTTGTCCTCGTTTCAGAACTTCGAAAGTTTGGGTGCAAGGAACACGGCCACAAAGGTGATTTCGGATCTTTTGGAGTGATGAAGACTTGACAGATTCCAATGGATTGTGCACCATGCACAAACATCGGCCGCTGTCTCCACAAACAGTGGCTATTTGTGGACTTGCGGCTTAGAGGCTAACGCAGCCCTAATTCAAACATCAATTGAAGCGAAATGTCCGAGCAAGGCTACCACATAGCCTTGGAGCAGCAACGCGCACTAAGCCTAGGCTTCAAGGTTTTAGACGTTGGCCTTTCTGCTCGATGGAACTCCGCTCATCGGAGATCAAGGAAAGCGGCGATTTCGGCCATTATCAACACTGCGACTATCGACACATAAGATGAAGACAAAAAGGCACGCTCGAATGTGCTCAGCCAGTGCTATGCCACTTGTTATACCCCGTCCTTTGCCACAAAGGCAACAGCCACTGGCATTGCAGCTCCTAGGCACGGGAGAGGCCCCAAGTTAGGGGGGTCTGCAAGACCGCAGAAATTGAATGCGCAGTTTTTGGACCGTGTCAAGGCAATTTGGGGGGACAGCTCACAGTGGCGAGCACTAAAAATATCTTCTTGAAAATTTGAACTTGAGGGTTTTGAGACCCAATCCTTCCGGTTCTAGCCCCCATTTATAATTTAGATGTGTTTTTCATGACGAGATTGCTCTCTCAAATAGATAATAATTAATATGGGTCGGAAGATGTATCTGGCATTTCCCCAACGACTATCATTTGTGATGATGAAAAGGAGCTGCCATCCCACATTGCGAACTATTGATTGCAAAAAAGGAAATCTTATGAGGGCTTAACAGCAATAAACTCAAAGCAGTTGCGACTTAGGTCGCCCGAGCAAACATGCTAGGTGGGATTCCTACCGCAGGAAGTACAGTGAACTGAAAAACTCTGAGAATTCAGGAATCTCAGTACCTTGCTAGTATTGGTGTCTCCCCAAATGGATATATTTGGCAGTCGCCAATCGCCACAGAAATTGCAATAATGAGTGACAAAACATTTGCGATATACTGACTACTATATCTTCTGCGCGAATCTGCCACACTGTGACCAGACTTCCCTCCATGACAGCATTCGGAACAGTTGCCCAACATTGCAAACAACCTTTTAACGTTGTAGGCCGACAACCACACACACATGTTGGGTGCATTAATCCGTCCAATATTGACATTCGACATTGGACATTGATGGACTAGTTCGCGTTCCCACTGCACAGCAGAATGGCATGGTGTGCCGGCGCATCAGGCCACAGAAATTCCGCCATGCCGAAGGAGTGCGATGTTGGGGACCGTGTGCCATTTCGGGGGCGCTGTTGGCGACTGGGCGCTTCCCAAGGAGCGCTCCTGTGTCCCAATCGTTGTTCAAGGTGCGCTGTTGCGGGGCCCCACCGTACATTGCGCCAGTGTGCGGGACCCCTCCGTACATTGTGCCAGTGTTCGGGGCCGCCTTCGTACATTGTGCCAGTTTGCGGAGGCCAAGGCGGGGGTGCATTTTCGGCGGGAAAAGGCTCGGATTCCAGCGAAGCGCTGCCCTGCCACCAACCAAGGCACCCAGCACCCGCGGCCCCCCTTCCCACCCCGCCGCCCCTTCCCCACGCGCACGAGTGGCCACGCGATCGCCGCATCGCCCGCCAGCCATGGCCAAGCTCGTGGCTGTCTTCGGGCGCATCCTGCTGGCGCTGATCTTCATCGCCTCGGGCCTGGACAAGTTCCGGAATTTCGACAAGGACAGCGGGGGGCCCATGGCGGGCGTGATGGCCCCCAAGCTGGAGCACTTCATGGACATCGTTTCCAAGAGGACGAACATAGAGATCCCCCTGCACAAGGTGCGGTTGCGTGCGTGTGTCGTGGTGTGTCACTATCCCTGGAAGCCTTAAGCATACAAAGGACCATCCCCCGTGGAAAACAAACAATAGCAAGAAGGGGACAACAATAAAAAAATAAGAATAACGAGAATAAGGAAAACAAGAATAAGATGGGCCCTTTTCCGCCCTGCAGCATTCGAGGGTGTGCTTGCATGTGCCAAGATGTAATAAAGTGGCTGAACATAGGTCATCCAATGATTTGTGCGTGTATGTGCTTGGGGGGAAACGGGCTTGATGAACCCTGGCTGATCGCAAAGTGGAGTTGTGCTTTGGCCCGCGATGCTGCTTTTGAGATACCGCCCTGACGATGTCTGATGCCGTACAGGAGCACTACCCATACCTCATCCTGTCCGCGGCCTTCCTGGAGTTGGTGGGAGGCGCGCTGTTCATCCTGGACTCGCCTGTGGGGTCGGTTTTTCTGGTGAGTGTGAGTCAAGATGTTAAGATCCCCGAACCACAGGTCATACAATAGAGCACCCCTTCGTAAGCAAGTATGCAGCAGGCCCTGTTCCGCGTAGTATTGTTACAGGTCCCACCATTGGCAAGAATGAAATCGAAAGCATGATGGTGGGTGTGATTGTTGGTGGGAAGATCGCAGTTGGATCGCTCCCGCTGGCGCTGGCAGAGATGCTGATCGGTGTTGGGCACTGTTGATGTCGCGCTTGGAGATTTATGCAACGCCTTGTGCAGTGTGGATAGCTTTGCAAATCCATGAAATAGCTTTGGAAACTCCATGCTTGGTGAGTCGGGGCCCAGTGTGCAGCATGTGCTATTCTATTAGTGTACAATATGTTGATGTGACAATCTTCAACTGGCCCTGAGAGATCCCAGGAGCCTCGAGCAGCAAGATCGGGGCTGTCGATAAGAGCCTGTACCTTAGCCACTTAAGTTGTATTCCCAGCTTCTGGGAAATCGATGTTGGGTGTTCAGACGGTCGTGACCACCTTCCAAAAGTGGCATCGTTGGGTTCATTTCACAACCTGGGGCATGTGTTACTGGAAGAGCAGTGGCTGTTCCAATGAAACAAAGCAATGCCTATATTAATGGCATTGTCATCTGCAGCTGTTTGCCATTGTTTCTTTCAATTCTTAAATACCACATCAAGGGCCCAAGTGCTCTTCGCATCCATGTTGCATTTCAACTTGGGTACATCATCGACACTTAAATGTGTTGTGTCTCAGTCATCTACCTGTTGATCTCCAGATCTCCAGGTCTCTAATGACGTTGAGTCTCCTAATCTACATTTTGCAGGAAGCTCATTTCCCAATAGGGTCAGTGTTGTGCACAGAAACCGCAAGGTAATTCAATGGAAAGAGATTGGCACTGTGCTCGTAATTTTGAGTTGCCAAGGGTGTGCTTCACCTGGTGCAGATGGCCTTCTTGATTGGTGCCACCCCAGTCATGCACAACTTCTGGGACATCCACGACAGCTCTCAGATAGGAGAGATGATACATTTCATGAAGGTGAGCTCCTCCAGACCTTACAGTGGATCCTGCAGTTGTGTCTGTCAACCTGTGTGTGCCATTGAAATTCTGACATCAACAGTTGGCTCTGTCCCCACACCCACATTCCTTGACACCATGTTGTGGAATCTTCATTGATTGAGTTGTCAAAGCAGATCAAGCCGTTCCTCTTCTACCGCTTCGACCTTGTGGTGGTACCTGCCATCTTGCATCCTTCTGTGTGGAACTGAATTGTGCCAGTCTGGACAAGCTATCCATCGTTCCTGCATCATGAGTTCTGGCCTGCACAACTCCTACTATCAAGAGCTTACAGACAGCCTGCTGTTCCTTATCACATGAACTGAACTGATGGTCCTTGCATTCTGTGTGGAGTGACACATTGCTGTGTGCCAGATGTGTTGGCTCATCAGCTGAACATACAGAACAATGTTTGCCGATCCAACAACTTCTGCCAGTCCCAGAATGCAGCTGTGCTCCCTGCCACATGGCACTACCAACGTCCCAATTTATTACTAAATGCCCGGAACTGTGCTGACAGAATCTATCCATTTTGGGAGGCCTGTTGGCGTACACAGCGACGAGACGGGGAGTGGCTGGAAAGTACAAAGAAGATTGATCGATGTGGGAACAACTGGGGACAGGTGTAGGTGGCAGAAGGGTGGCCTCTAGCCTATTGGTCGCAGGCTCAGCTTTGAGTTGTGCACATTAGAGGGCAGAGGCACAGATGAGTCATCCTGAATGCAAGAACCCAGTTGTTTCTGCATGAAAGAAAGACCACCAACCAAGTGGCAGGGAACATTTCTTTGACCTGAGTCCGGTTCGTGTGCGGCAAATGAACATTTTTGTACAGCGAAGGTGCGTTTTTAACCACAAGGTCATATTACAGTATGTGCTCTGAATATTGGCAGGGCAACGGGCAACAAGTTAGCGGATGTGGAGAGAGTGATGCAGCACCCATACAACTTAGGAAGGTTGACGTATTGTCAACTTTCACCTGCGCAAGATATTGTGGATCTCTTGGTATACAAGCACTTGGGGCGTTCAGATCCCTTTGGATGGGGAGTAGAGGCAAAATACTTCTGTTGACATGGCCAATGTGGATCGTCAACATCATCGTAGCTGTCGCCCAACTGCTAAGAGAGTTGTGTTGTACACTGGAAATTTGAAGTGGCTCTGTCAGTTATTGTTGAACGGCATCGGCCAAGGGCATTCCCCCTTCATTCCTCATCTTGTGCATCCATTCGCACTTGCAGTGCTGCTGTGCTTCCAGGATGATCATGCATCAATGCATATGCCTTGGCACTGTGGGGCCAATTCATACAAGTCACCCACACAGTCTCAAGCCACCTAATTCCTGTTCTGCGTCCGGCCTCCATGAGACCTTCAATGGCTAATGGCAGTAGTGTAATGTTCAACTGTTCATTGTTTCCAGTGCAAGCACATAATATCCCCTCCAGTGCCCTTGCACCACAATAACAGCCCCATACAATTTGGATCAGCCAGTCGCCTTGCAGATCAAGTTTTGAATTGTGGCACAACTTGGCACCTGAAGCACCTGGGCTTTAGGGGACCTGCGATGATCTCTGTTAGCAGGTGTCTAATATCTGAGCACAAACTAAATGGCATGCACAACAGATGCAGGTTTGCGTCATTAATGTGAGCTGCATTCTCAGAAGGTTGTGATATTGTATGGCTGCCCTGGCATATCCAACTTTGCAATTTGCCCTACGCTCATGGCCACTGGCGATTGGAATAGTGAGGCCCCTTGATTCTCACTGAGCAGGCATGCTGTTGGTATTGTAGCAACCGCAATTGCCTGGCCCGTGGAGTAGGGGACGCCTCCCAAGGCCGATGTGCTTGGTGGTTTGCCGGTCACAGTCCTGTGCTCCAGAACATGCTGTGGCTGCAGGTGCAGCTTGGTTTCTTGTTGGCCTCACATCCATCGTGCCTGCCCAGCCCGCCATACTTACCTGTCCATCTGTTGGGTTGTGCAGAGCATTTGCAAAAGGCATTACGATTGCGCAGCCCCCGTAGCATCCAATCTCCTAACAGCGCCGTACCAGCCATGCTTGCCGTTCCCTCCGTATGTGACACGGCTACGGTCGCAGCCGCACTGCTTGTGGGTGTCGCGAAGTCAACAATGATGGTCAGTTGAAAGGCATGAGCACAAAGGGAACTTATTTTTTTGGTGAGATGATTCACAGAATTAGGCACAAATGGCTAGCAGAAATGGAATGTAAGGTTATTTAATTTGATAAGCGAGTGTGCTGATTAGTGTACTGATCATACCGTTCGTTGTTCTTAGACTGTATGCCCGTGCATCCATAATTCTGACGGAATTGCGAGGCTGTGTAGCTCCATAAATATGCTATAATATTAAAAAATGCCAAATAATTCGCTCTGCGGCGCTTTTTGCACCATTTCAGTACCCTAACACCAAAGCACGACTACCGGAAAAAGTGAGATGACTGCGAAGGATTGTCCACAGAAAAGAGACGTGTACAGCGTCAATTATTTGCGGCAAATGAAGAACTCCTAAGACCCAGCCTGGCTTAGTGAGCGCCCTTTGCTGAAGCACTGATCGCCAGCTAATGGTGAGGCCACGAGTTCCTCCCAACACATGTCTGGCGTTGGTGATCTGGCGGGCGCTTCCTCGGCTTTAATCTGCTGCAAACAAGATATATTCTTATCAATTAATGGGAAGTACATAAAAGTCTCAAATTGTACAGTGCCTAAAGTAGCCGATACGTCAGAAATAGTAAACCCCGAAACGTGAGTGCCTACTGTGACATGGGGATGAGTCTGCGTGACCGCAAACAAGAAGAACGGCAGACTGGTCTATCGTGACCAGATTGGCTGTGCGTTCACAGCTGTAAGAGTAAAGTCTCTGATATAAGAATGGTTGAAAAGGAAGGAAAGTTATAAAGTAATGGCTGCAAGTTTGAAATGAAAAAGGACATAAGACTGATCGACTCTGAAAGAATGAGTCACTATCTATGTGAAGAGGTGTGACTATGTAACAAGGTCACAGGTGCGTGTGAATGACTTGACGTCATACCCGGATGCCACTAGACGAATACTGTCCGAATCCGAGGAAAGCGGTTGACTACTGGTGGTAAAGAATGCGAGTGGAATGCTGTGACATGGCAGCTAGTACAGATATTCGTCTCTTATGAGAAAGGTGTGAGAACTACCATCCTACGTAAAGGGACATTAACTTGAAGTTCACAGTTGTGAAAGAAACTCCAGTAAGAGAGGGTACCTGCCAGGAATTTGTGCTTGAAGATGAGGAGAGATGGGAATCAGGTTTTAAACCACTGATTAGTAGTAAAAGTTAGTCGCGTTGTGAGCAAAGACCGTCTGGTTGTGAAACATTTGGTATGATGCACTTAAGAAAGGCAGTCATGAGATTGCAATGTCACTCGTAGGACACACTGAGCATCAAACTCGCACCTGTCGAATTCAGGGGTACGCGCTCCTGATCTCTCAACAGGAATGGACTTTAATGATCATGGCTAATGCGTGGTGCACGCGGTCAGGCCTCATGGACAGATGGCTGCCCATGTCCAACATTGCTGATGACTATAAATATGATCTTACTTGGTGCCAAATTGATATGACAGACCTGTCCCATCATGAAATAAATAGAGCATGTACTCAGCATCCTGATTCAGCACATCGATGACTTTGAAAACCGACCTTGAGTCGACCAGTGAGCAGACAAGGCGCACCCCTAGGTCGGCCTGGCCCGCCATGAGGCCGCTTTGCGCTGAACATTCACCAGCATCCCTCACTGGACGACATGGCAGGCTGCCATGCGTCCTGCAGTACGCGTCACCCATGTCAACCTAATGTTGACGAATGTACGGGTGCCATCTCGTACCTTGGGGTGCGCCGTGTGTCGGGTGTCATAGCAACCTTCGATGTCGTGCGGCACCTTGGACTCCGAGTTGTGGGGCGCTTCAGAAGCACACCCATGGATGGTGGTGACTTGCAGCGGCGCATTTGATAATGGCTGCGAGAGCGCGGCTGGCAAGGCTCTAGAGCGATGACGATGGCGAAGTCGAATGAGCACGGCGGTGCTGCCCGCATGGCCGCGAGTCGTCGCGCCATGCATGGATTTTGCATGTTGAGGTGAACCTGCGACGGCCCCAAGGGATGTTGGAGTCCATGGCGTGACGAACGGCCAGGCGCGATGCTGGATTTGAAGGCCTGCTCAGCGATGGCGGGGGTGATCGAGGCGCTGGCGCCCGTGGCGGAGGCATGGGGAAGCAGGCGAGGACGGAGTCCTCGTAGAATGGGCGTAGCATTGCGGGACCGAGTCAGGAGAGCGTTGAGGAAAGCAGTTGGTGCTGCGTTACTTACTGTGGTTTGTGTCAGTCTATTGGCGATAGATTTAATTGCCTATGGTCCGATTCTGACAGCTAGGCTTGCTGGGCTAATTCGGAAAGTGAGTGAACTGCTCTGGAGCATCTTTCGCTCCTTAATGCGTGGTGCGTCATTGCAGCTGGCCAAATTTGGCTAGGGAACTTGCGCGGGTGAAAGGTCAGTTGGGTTTCCTGTGGAATTCGGCGTGCATAAGACGCGGGCAGCTTGGGCTGACAGATGGAACAACACCTATCACGTCGCAGCCTGTGACAGGGCTCATTTCCGGTTCAGTCAGCGGCCGTCATCACTTTCAACTTCCTTGTACATTTGTGCGTGGGATTATAGTGGGCTATTGCGTGTCCTGAGGTGCCTCTGTCTGGGCGCTTGGATCGGGCGTTCGCTCTGACTCACATAAAGCGTGGCTGTGACTCACCAGCCACAATCGGCTGTCACGCGCGATGGCCATTCAACACCTCTCATTCTCTACTTTATTTTTGGTGTTGGCTGCGGGTCAGTCTTCTGGTAATCCTTTGTATGCCCTGCTTTCTGAGTGAAAAATACATCTGTGGCCTTCTTTTTGCGCTGACTTCACTTGGGCGATGAGGTGGTATGCGATTGAATTGTCATATCGATGAGCGCTTGTGATGCATGTGGCCACATGGGGCCCAGAGATACGAATAAGGAGGCGGGTGGCTGTGAAATGAAAGCAAAACTGTCCCGTTCCGCCGCCATGATTGGCGAGAGATTTTTTGATGGAAAGTTGACTCTGACGCGCAAATACGTCCAAGGCGTGAGCGGTGCTTGCCTGGCATGTGGGCCTGCTTGCAAGCACACAATTGGGGTGCATCGTCCGACAGGCGGCGGAATGTGGAAAGTGCACTCTCTGGGCCCATGGGCGGAGGACGGTGGAGTGGCCACTCCAAGGAGTTGCTTGAGTCAACACTCAATCCACACTAAATGGGTATCTCGACCATCCTCGTTCATTACCTGATGTCCTCCACTCCTCTGGGACGACGCAAACTGTTCGCAGGTACAACCCCCGTTTCTGTCAGAAACGGCGGGCCTAAGGCCTCCCGATGTACTGCAAGAAAGTACCTTGTATGCCAAACCGCGTTCGCAGTCCGCTCGGCACGCGGCGCTGGACGTTGGACCCCGGGCGGGCCGGACGGCAGCGCCAGGACAAGCCTCCAAAGGACGCCGTTCCGCCAGCCGGTGAGTTCCCCTCCCAGTGGCAAAACTCCGCCAGCCCTCCATTCCCTTGCGTGGGTGACCTGTCATACGGCGGCCATCAATTCACCTGCCGCCACCTCGTTGCCTCCGCCTCTGGCGGGCGTACGGGACAATCAACTGAACTGGGGGCAAGCGCCGATCGGCGGATCGGGCATCAAATATGGCAGCGCCGCGCGCTCACCGGTTTCTGTCGCGGGGGAGAGACCGTCAGCTGACGATCTCAACCAGCGTCGGTGCCCGAATGCAAGGAAAAGCGGAACATGCATTTGCCTCGGACACTGACAAAGGCCAGAGTGGCTACCGGCTCCGTTGCTCCCTGGGAGGATGATCTCCAACCTAAAAGGACGCAGCGGCTCGAGATTGCAGCAGGAGGCCTGAGATGCCGGAGTTGATGTGGATTCCCAGGACGGTCGGCAATGGCGCGCGCGTGGCTGCTGTGCGCTGCCATCCTGCTGGTGGGAGCAGGCGCACTGGACGGTGGCCGGGCCGATTCTGAGGTGGATGGAATTGCCGTCGGCGGGCCACGGAGGGGCGGAGAGCGGCATGTGCTGATGAAGAAGAAGGGGAAGAAGAGCAAGGACGAGGTCGAGACCGCCGCAGCCCCGCTGGAGGGCCCGGTGGAGGAGGGGGAGGGGGAAGAGGTGGGGGAGGGCATCGCCTCCCTGGCGCCCCTCCCTTCTGAGCCGGCGGGGAACGGAGCGTGCGCGTGCATCTTCGGCTTGGAGAATGTGAGTCCGTGCGACTTTGCGGCGCCGTTCGTGCTTGGGTGCGGCGCCGGCAGGCCGACCCGGTAGGGGAAACACGTCAATTTCGCCTGGAAGGCCGCGGAAATGGCTGCGACGTCCGGCACATGGGCAGGTCGCGCTTGCTGTGCGAAGCAAGCAATGGCCTCGGAACCGCGGGATTGCTTTCCCGCTTTTCCACCGTTGGGCTGTTGGATAGAAATCCCGCCACAGTAAGGAGCGTTCTCACGCTTCCTGGGGAGTGCGTGGATGCTGTGCCACGAAAGGAAGGGCCCCGGAACCATGCGACTGGAGTCCCGCTTTTCCACCGCCAGGCTGATAGATAGGAATCACGCTACCAAAAGAAGTGATCTCAGAGGAGTCGTGGAGGAAGCTTTCCTGGGGAGGAACACAATGCAACTAAAAGCAAATGCCTTCCTGTGCAGGTCATCTATCAGCCAGAGAACAACCTGCTCGCCGTGCCTGGAAGTGCTGGCAAGGTGCCAAAATATGCTTCGAAAGTGGTCAACACGTGCCAGGTGAGCGAGTCATCTCATCTCCCGATCTGAGCCACTCACCCTCGCTTTCAGATCTCCCCCGTGGATTCTCTTGGAGCTTTCGTGAACCCGCTCGGCGAGTGATGGCTGGCTGGGTATGCCGACAATGGGGCTTCTAAGTTCCGTGCGAGGAGAGGGGGCGACACGGTTGCCACCAGCTGCTGCATCTTTTCCTTCGGCCGTGAGTGCCACAGCCAGAAGCCGCATTGCATTCCGCCCCAGCCCAGGAGTTGCGGGCTCCGGAAATTGAGCAGGCAGCAAGGGTACCAGTTGCAAGCCGAAATGGGCTGTCATTTTGCGAGCTCCACAGTTTGGAGTCAGGGTTTGCTACCTGATCTTGCTCCTGCCATCAAACTGTGGAGGTGGATGGATCAGACAGAATGGAACCGGAAAATTCCTCCTTGATTCGCCCAATGCTACCATCAAAATAGCATTATTCGGATTGGTTCATGGACATATGCTCCTATTATTGTGTGTCCTAAGGCTGGACGCCGTTTTGCAACAATGCACGCTCTTCACGTTCAGTGCCATTGCGATATGCAGGAAGCGGGATTTAACATCGGCGTAGTTACGGACAATTGCTTCGAGACAGAAATACGGCGAGTGTTGACAGAGGAGCTCGAATCACCTGTGTTCACGGAGGAGTTCCTGGACAGCGAAGCCCTACAAAAATGCGACTTGGACAAGACGAATCAGGTCACAGCCGTCTATGAGTTCTACGGCGTCAGCCCTGAGTGCGCAATCTACTTCGACGTTGGAGAAGAGAGGGAAAAGAACGCGACTGCCATTGGGGTTCAGTTCCAGCTGGTGGGCAAGAAGGGAGTGACGAAGAAGGCCATGAATTCTGGCCTGGGCCGCTTGACGGACGAGTGCGGATGCCAGCTCGCCTAGAGGGGGAAGGGGCTGGGGTGGCGCAAATACATTTGATGCTGTGTGACTGGGCCGTCGAATAAACGACAATGTATTTATGGCAGGTGTGTGGTTCACGCCGGTACCGGTGGTGAAAGCGGTGGAATCTACCAACTGCGCAGTTGGCTTGCCGACGGAGGCGAGGCCGGCCCCTGCGCCAGGATAAAAGCACGCCTCGTCGGCTAAAAATGTGGGGAAGCTGCGCTCGAGCGTAGGGAAAGTGTGCTGTAACTGATGCGAGTAAATGGCTGGTGCGCATGGCAATGGTTCCCGTGGGGTGGCTGTGCAGCGCGCCTGGGTCCCGGAAAGGGGCCTGGAACCGGAAAGGGGATGCTTCGGTCACCAAGGGCAAGGCCATGGTGTCCCTGCAGGCTCACGGCCCGTTGCTCAAGCGCTGCTTTGGCGCCCGCAAGAAATGAAAATCGCAGCTGAAGACGTTCCCAATTCTCCTGCTCGAAGGGCTGTTTACAACGATGGTGAAACTGGGCGTCAGGCGCGCAGACCTGATTGTCCGATTTTGGAAAAATGCACAAATTATTATACTGCAAATTGCATATTTTCATCAAACACTTTTTGGGGCCTGGCAAGAGCTGTGTGAATCATATTTTGTCTCTGTAATGTTCTTGGTCGATCCGTCACAACAGCTTCGCGTCGGGATCTTTCAATAGGGCCCAGTCTCTTGATTCACTGTCAACTATTTTGTACCGCTGTGGAAAGCGGTTGGAGTCCATCAAACCGCAGCAAACGTGGCTGGAATTCTGGCAGCGGTGCAGGGGACTTCCATTTCAACCACTGTGCCTGATTCGCTTGGATACCAATCTGACAGTGCCAAACTCCAACGGGGGAGGCCAGAACATCCGTCCATCAGGGTGGCTACATTGCTGTTAGTACAAAACACCAAAGCAAAGAATTGGAACTGGGCCCTTCCCAGATCCAGTGCTCCTATCCACCGTTCTTCAGACCACACAACAGCCCAACGGCCATGCGAGTCTGAGCACAGCCAGCCCCTCCAACGTCATCCTCGGACTAATGCACAATGTGTGCAATCACCAAACAACCACACACCTGATCCTGCTGCACTAGGAAGCCCACCAAATACATCTAATCATCTGTATGCGTGTGCGGACTCGCTCAGCATTGAATTCTGTGCGAGGCACGACAAGACAAGAAAGAACGTAACTTCCTCAGCGACGCTCGTCGGCCATGTGCGACCATCCTTCCTCCCAAACATGAACTGTGGTCAAGGTCCCAAGCATCATCGGTGCGGGGATGAATACGTATAAAAATGTTACTGCATGTGCATATACAGAACCCTACAAACTACCCACACGTCTTCAGTATGAACCACGCCACAACCCACACAGTTCCCAGAAGTTACCAAACTGCCAACCCATGCACTACGCCAATTTGAAGAGCTGGTACGGACCTAGTAATCCCCTCCCTCACCGCAGCTCCCTCCAACTTCCCCCTGGGCCCCTGAGGGAAAGCTCGTGTAGTCCACCAAGCCATTTTGGCTGATCGGCTCAGAAGACAGCGCATACATCGTCGGAGTGACGCTGCGAGCCACAGTGGGTCTGTCATATACGGAAAAGCCCTGAAGATCCTCATAGTCCCGAAGTGGCGTGGTGACCTCGGCATCGCGAATGACGTCGTTGATGTTCTCCATAAAATTTGTCAAGCTGAAGCTGGCCCGGCGCACCTGGCAACCATAACACAAGTCCTCGATGGGCAAACCATTTCAAAGTCATCTGAGACTGCAGTGCAATCGTAGAACTCATCCCAGAGGAACGGGCAAACTGGACCGAACCCAGCTCAGGAATGGGGAAGATGACAAGCAATTATCCGCACAATAGTTGCAATTCAGTAAGGACTGGCTTGGTTTCGCTTGGCTAGGCCAACTGGCCTATGCAGGTTGACGCTGTTGACTGATCAAAGACTTTCCAGAATACATCAAATACGTCAAGTGGTTCTCCAGAACACAAAATGAAACATACCTGGTCCAGTTCTTGGAACTGTGCGAGGGTGGCCTCAGCGGCATCAACACGGCTGGTGGCATTATCCAGCAGGTGTCTGAGGTAATCATTCTCCTGCTCGCGGTCCTCAATCAATGTGGCAGCCTCATTCTTTGAGTCCCTGATCAGCTGCCGCAGCTCTGACACTGTGCACTCCAGCTCTGACACCTCACTCTCCATCTTGCGGATCACCATGCCCTTCTTCGCCAGCTCCTCGTTCAGCCGGACGTTTTCCTGCCGCACAGCGTTGAGGTCTCCATTCAATTGGGCCAGCTGCTGTGGTTGAGTTTCCGCCTCCACCTCCTGTTTGGATAGTTCCCCCTTGGTGAGACAGAATCCATCACAAGCAGGGATCAGCTCTGCATACATTCGGCTCAGGGCATTTTACTGACACCAACTGTGATGCCGTTTGACACTAATAGATGTTATTTCAGTTACTTTTATCCCACCTTAATCACTGTGTTTACACACCTGTCAAAATTGCAGGACAGTTGGCATTGTCAAATAATGTGCATTGCTGGTTTGAGAACGTCATCCATCGGTGGGGCATGCCATCTAGTGCCACAAGCCATCATTTGCTGTCCTCGAGCGGCACCAGCCCAAGATCAGTACTGTCCCATGCAGTACTTAGATGTTTTTGCACCATACCAATGGTAAAGTTTGACAACTACTCATCGTGTTATTCAATTGCTGGCTGTTTCTTCCTGCAGCATCATTAGACAACATTGCCATTATCACCACAACCACCCGATCTGGCTGTACTGCATGCTCCCTAGCTGCTCCTTGCAGACTGCTGGACTCGATCTTCAGGAGAATGTCAAGTCACATGAAGGAATTTGCACACTGTAAGCTCAACAACAACATCAACAAAGGACTATTTTTTCAATAACTCACACCCACACATGTTGAAAAGGCTTCACAACTTGTTAAGTTTGATAACATCTGACCGCCGTATTCCTTGATGCATGCAGAAATGCAAATTGGTTGTGGGGAAAATGTGCCATTTGCACATTCTGTGACTTATAATACTCTGTGCATCTCAAATTGCTATCAACCACATCACCACAACATTGCAGGTTCACAGCCACACCCAGCTAGCAAGCTTATGTTTTGTGGGATGACTTACCCAAATGCAGAAAGTTGTGGCAAAAAAGACCAAAGGCAAGTTCTCACCAAAAGACAAGGCATTTGAACTGGCAAATTGACCAATACACAGTGGATGGCTGAAACTCACAATCCTCAGCTGTTGATCAGAACGACTCCAGTCTGCTGGCAGCTCCTGCAGACATTGGGTGACTTCCATCATGGTTGGCCGAGCTGCAGGGTTGATGGAGCAGCAGCGCTTCATGAGCAGCCGCATTTCTTCAGGACAATCTTCAGGCCGTACTGTGCATGGCTCTTCACCAGAAAGCTTCTTGTTCATCACAAATGCCCTCCTTGCATCAACAAGCTTCAGTTTGTCTGCTCCATATGGATGTGCTCGTGCCACTGCTTCATACATGACGACTCCGAAGCCAAAGACGTCAGACAAGACAGAGACAGGTTGCCCTTCGTAACTTTCTGGTGCCATCCACTCCAGTGTTCCTCCTCCAAGCCTTGTTGTCTTGCTCCTCCCTTTGACTGGTTCCAATGCAAGCCCAAAATCTGCAATCTTCACTTTGCAGCTGTCTGGGTCTGTCCCAAATACGAGAAAATTTGAGCTCTTGACATCTGCGTGCACAACAGGAGGAGAAAGGCTGTGCAGGAAATACAGCCCTTCTGAAGCTTGCCGGAGGAGGTTGAGTGTTCCTCGCCAGCCCATCTTCTTAGAGCCTCGACACAAAGTCCCCAGATCCGCATCGGCTGCTTCCATGACCAACCAGCCAGATGGAGTGGTCGCATGCACTTGGACGATGTGGGGGTGACTCAGGTTTGCATGCACAACCACTTCCCTGACAAAGCTTGCAAACTCCTCAATGGGCAAGTCGCCTTCGGTGAGTGGCCTCTTCACAGCGACTCTAGAAAAGTGCCATTGTGCCTCAAATACAAGGCCATATCCACCTTTACCAATCTGCTTCTTCATCAAAAGAGCATCTTGGGAAATGATCAGCAGGGACTTCAGCTCATCATGGGCACACTTGATGGGCATCCATTGATGGAGCAGTTCGTCATCAACACCACACTTCTCACCCTTGAGTATGTAGGAAAGCAGTTTGTGCAAGTACTCCCTGTCTGCCTGGACACAGTCATAGGGCACAGCATATTCAAGCTCTGCTGCACACTGCAACTTCCATTCCTGTGCCTGTGCATGCAAAAACTCGCAGGTTTCACCAACAGCACTGTAGACATCTTCGATCTTGTAGAATGTTCTGATGTCAAATGGCTCTGAATGCTTGGCCAGTAGCCTGCGTGCCTTTTTGACCCTGGTATGAAAGGCCAGCCATTCCTCTGCTGTTGCACTGGCCGGTTGCTCCAAACTTTCCACTCTCTCCAACTGTTGCCTAAGGAAGGACAGCATGTTGTGGTTGTAATGCAACCCTTGCAGCGAGCTGTGTCCCTCCTGTCAACAATGCAGGATTGAAAATGTAAGATACCATCGCTAGTCTAGGCGCATGACACAGCCTTTCTCCCCTTGCACATCGATTTAATATGTGCTTGAAACCAACTTGCAAATATGCATACACAGTTGCACATTTGCCGTTGTGAAAAATGGAAATTCTGTCACACAAAAAATGAAAAGTAGAATAACCAGCACTTTGTGTGTGTTGGCAGCAACATGGCCACAGCCGAGCCTGACTGTCCATGTCGGGCTACCATGGTATGCGCTGGCTGCCAACACCAGCAGTGCTGCACAAACTACCCCATTGCAGCCAGAGACTGACACAGGCCAAATATCCATTAATCAGCGCATTGAAGAGTCAACTGCTGTAGATGCAATCACACGGTAACCAGCGTGGCTCCGCACGTCCCCATGCCTCCAACCTGCTGCCACAGCATGGCATCAAAGGGCAGTCAATCACCCCCCAAGGGCACGCGCCATCTGCCGCAGTACCGTACTATCGGGACACGAGCCTGAGGAGGGCCCTGCTACAGATCGGGGCAGCATGTCCTCCATAGCCGACTGTGGATCGAAAACCGTTGCGATCCCCAACGTTCCTCATAGCCGGATGTCCCCGTCGACCTTCGCCGTCCCACGACGTGGACGACAGCACAGCGGGGACATCGATCGAATCCGCCCTCCCGCCGCGGCCACGCCAGGCACCTTGCGGAGACGCGCGGTGCATGACGGCGGCTGCTATGGCGACTCACCGCTTCTGCCTGACTCTCCTCCATCGCGACTCCAGCGCCAGGCGCCGATGGCCAAGCCGCTCGTTGTTCGAGCGCACACCCACGCGCGGGAGCCCTGCGAGACAGCGTGGGGATGAAACACGGTGAGCATCACGGCAGGGCGACTCCAGCTAATGCTTCGCCCAACCCAGCCTCAGTCCTGCCGCTCTAGGCCACCACGCCCAGCACCGCTGAGGGTAGAGGAAGCGGCCTGGGGAGCCTCGAATGTCCGGATCCGCTACAGCAGCTGATCGTGAGATCCACCAACCGGATCGCTGGACCGACCCGCTACTCCCGGCCACAGGCATCAGCTCGACGTGGATGCGCGTGTGGTCCCCACCTGCGTCCGACTGGATTGCCACTCAGCGGCACTCCGGCACACAGATCCGAGGCCCAGGAGCAGGAGGTCGCTTCGGCGGTAACTCAACGGCCGTGCTTACTCCTCCGCTGCGGGCGCCCGCACCGTGGCGCCCGCTTGGAAGAAGCGGAGAAATAGGCCGGAGGAGAAGGAGGAAGGAGGAGAGGGAGGTAGTAGATCCGGTAGGAGGAGAGTGACCGTCTGGCGGCCCCCAACGGTGTGAAGTGGCATCCTGGGGACACGTTGATGTTAAGCACTCGAAGGTGCTCCCTTGGTCTCGCGACCTGCGCGGCTGCGCCAATAGTGTGGGCCCCATCACGATCGTGTGCCCTCACATGGAGCGATCGCCCTCATGGCGATACGGCGGGGTGGGCCTTTGGGTCGGTAAGGAGGGGTGTTCTTACAGGACAGCACCACACATATATACTCTACGACAGATTACTATTCCTGTCTGGTTTGACTCCAGCATGGTGTGTCTGTCTCGAACCCAGTGTGCCCAATTCCCATTGCCCTCGCTAGGAACTCCTTTGCCCGAAATCACCTCATCAGAGCCATGAGCACCCTTCGTATCACAGCACCAGCAGATATCTGCGGGGTTCCAGTTGAGAAGTGGACAACGCAAAAAATAAAGCAGTTAAGCGTCCGGTGGTTATGTGGCATTCTGCCCCCACCAACTTTTGCACACCCACGCACAACCTAGAAAGGAAATTCAGCGAAAAATGCTGCCGGCCATACAAAATTTGAGCAAATATCGAAACCAAGCCACGCCAGCCTGTGCATATTTTCCTCATCCAAATAGAGTTCTTGCTCGACATATTCAGGCAGACAATTCCCGGAGTGCCATTGAAATCAATGAACTCTGGTGTGGGCCGCTTGCTGGAGGAGTGCAGATTCCCTAGACGGGGTTGGGCTTCGGCTGGTGCACATCCCTTTGATACTATGTGACCATGCCATCGAATTCGATGATGTATGTATAAGTATCACGTGTAAAAGCATGAACGCAAAAGTGAGGTTGTCAGCGTAAAGGCCAAGTCTGCCCAGGATAAAAGCACGCCTTGTCAGCTAGAAATGTGGGGAAGCTGTGCTTGTGCGCTAGGGGAAGAGAGTGGCAACAGAAGCGAGTACATCGCACATCGCAACGGTTCCCGTGTGGTGGCTGTGCAGCGTCACCGGGTGGCATGGGTCCAAATGGGCCCAGACAGGGCACGCTTGGGTCCTCAAGGACAAGTCCATGTTGTTGCTGGATACTCACGCCCTGCCGCTCAACCACTGTTTTGGCAACCACAAGCATTGAGAATCGCAGTTCAAACCTGGCCCGAGTCTCCTGCTCCAAGGGCTACTCACAACGATGGTGAACACTGGCACCAGGCGCACAGACCTGATTGTCCGATGCTGGACAGGTACGCAAACGGTCGCGCTGCAAATTGCAGATTTTCATCAAACGCTATTGGGGACTGGCGAGAGCTCTGTGGAAATGGACATGTTTTGCCGCATGTAATGTGCTTTGTCGATCCGCCATGAACGGTGCAACCCTCGCTCGCTTCGACGTGGATCTTTTAGTGCCCAGTCTCTCGATTGATTGTCAGCCATTTTTCTACCGTTATGAAAAGTAGTTGGGTTCTATCAAAACGCAGCACGTGTGGCTGGAATCTGGGGGCAGGGCAGGGGACATCCATTTCAACCACTGTGCCTGATTCATTTGGCTGCCAATCTGACAGTGTCAAACTCCAACGGGTGCGGAGGAGTCAAGAAGATCATCTGTCCGTCAGGGTGCCTACATCGATGTGAGTACAAAATACAAAATGTGCAAACAAAGAAATGGATCTGGCCCCTTCCCAAATTCAGTGCTCCTATCCACCGTTCTTCGGAACAACAGCCAACGGCCATGCGAGTCTCAGCACAGCCAGCCCCTCCACTGTTGTCCTCCGACCAACGCAGAATGTGTGCAATCACCAAACAAACACTTGCCAGACCCTGCCGCACCAAGAAGCCCGCCCAAACAGACCCAATCATCTGCATGCGCGCGCAGACCCCCTCCGCACTGAACTGTCCCCAAGGCGGGGACAAGCCAAGACAGAACACAACTTGCCCGGCGACGCTCGTCGGCCTTATGCGACCATCCTTCCTCCCGGGAATGAATTGTGGTCAAGGTCCCAAGCATAATCGGTGCCTACTGCGGGGATGATTACGTTCAAAAATATTACAGCATGTGCATATACAGAACCCTGCAAACTACCCGCAGGCCTTCAGTAGGAACCACGCCACAACCCCCCCAGCTTCAAGAAGTTACTAAACTGCCAACCCATGCACTACGCCAATTTGAAGAGCTGGACGGACCTAGTACTCTCCTCCCTCACCGTAGCTCCCTCCAACTTCCACTCGGGCCCCTGGGGGAGGGCTCATGTAGCCCGCCAAGCCGTTTTGGCTCATGGACTCAGGAGACACCGCATACTTCGGAGTCACGCTGCGAGCCACAGTGGGTCTGTCGTACACATCGTAAAAGCCCTGACGATCCTCGTAGTCCCGAATCGTGTGGGTTATGCCCATTGGCGTGGTGACCTCGGCATCGCGGATGACGTCGTTGATGTTCTCCATAAAATTTGTCAAGCTGAAGTTGGCCCGGCGAACCTGGCAACCACAACACAAGTCCTCGATGGGCAAACCATTTCAAAGCCATCTGAGACTGCAGTGCAATCGCAGAACTCATCCAAGAGGAACTGGCAGCTCGGGCCGAACCTGGCTCAGGAATTGGCAAGATCAAAAGCAACCATATGCACAATCGTAACAATTCAAGTGAGGGCTGGCTTGGTTTGGCCTGGTTAGGCCAACCAACCTATGCCGGTTGATGCTTCCGACAGATCAAAACGCCTTCCAGAAGTATATCTAATATGTCAAGGGGTTCTCCAGCACACAAAATATGAAACATACCTGGTCCCGTTCCAGAGAAATCTGTGCAAGGGTGGCCTCAGCGGCATCAACACGGCTGGTGGCATCATCCAGCAGGTGTCTGAGGTAGTCATTCTCCTGCTCGCGGTCCTCAATCAATGTGGCAGCCTCGTTCTTTGTGTCCCGGATCAGCTGCCGCAGCTCTGACACCGTGCACTCGAGCTTGCAGATCATATTGCCCTTCTTCGTCAGCTGCTCGTTGAGCCGGGCGTTCTCCCGTTGAGCAGAGTTTAGGTCTCCATTCAAATGGGCCAGCTGCTGTCGCAGGTTTTCCGTCTCCACCTCCCGTTTGGAGACCTCCCCCTTGGTGAGACACACACCATCACGAGCAGAGATGAGCTCCGCACGCGTTCGGTCCAGGGCTGCTTCGAGTCCAGCCGATGCGTCCTTTTCGCGGGCCAGCTGCTCGCTGACAGCAGCCAGCGATGCGTCCTTCTGTGCATCATTCTGCGGGGAAACCCATCGCTGCTCTCAAAACTGGTGCGAACGTGAAAAAGCCACGGTAGAGATGTTGAACACTGTGAACAAGAAAGAATTTAGGAACTTGCTTGCAGGCAAGATGCAACGCTGTCCAATCGACGTGTTTCACTGCTGTATACAATAAGGCCCACTGTAAGTATCCTGACGCAACAGGATGCACAAGAATGCCTGTGGCAACACACGCAATGCAACATGATTCCTGTGCAAAGCACAACACTTGTTTGATAACAGGGAATAGAACATCCCGTAAGACTCAACATACCAGCTAGGGAAGAACATCAAAGCCCGAGTGCAACACGTGAAATACAAAACTGGCACTCAGATTCAATAGGAACAAGTGCTTGCAGACCATCCACCTTGTACAGCATCTCAACTTCCAGCTGCTGCTTTTCCATTGTCTCGCGGGCCCGCTCCAGTTCCCTCATCATATCGTCCATCAGGTCTGTGCTCTGCAGCCGCTCCAGTTCCTCCTTCTGCAGCTCACGCACCAGCACCTCCCTCTCCGTCTCCGACACCTTGCCTCCCAGCTCCTCAACTGCCTGGAATGACCTCTGTGCGTCATTCACCTTGCGCATCAACAGGTCAATGCTCTTCTTCATGGCCACCCGGTCGCCCTGTAGCCGCGCAACATGCTCCTGCAGTTTCTGTTTTTCCTCCTTCAGCAGGAAGTTGGCTGCGTTGGCAGAATCCAGCTGGCGTTGGAGCTCATCGGCATGCCCCTTGAGGACAGTATTCTCCTTGATTGCTGGTGTTGCGACCTCAGACCTCAAGTTGGTGATGGTTTCCTTCAGCCGCTTGACCTCCCTTTGCAAGTCCTCTATGTTCTTCTTCTCCTCACTGTCTTCATTCACTCGGGCATTGTTCCTGATGTACTTTGCTCGCCGCACGAACTGGAGGGTGCTCAGCGTTTCGTGGTACGAAATTGAGGAGGGGCTGATGTTGGCAATTATCGTCGTTTTGGCATTTCCACCAAGGGACTCCTGCAACAGATAGGTGTGTGAAGATCCTGTTACCAACGCTGTTGGGGATTGCAAAGGTAACAGACTTGCACATTCATGCCCACGGCACCAGCCAGCATCGGTGTGTTCTCAAGGCGATCTCTGTAAACTCATTTGGGAACTTTGGCCACAATGCATCCAGCTGTTAGAGTTTGCTGAGAGCTGAAAAAAGAAAATAAGCGATGGGAAAGTTATGGGAAGGGCAACCAAATTTATGGCAACCACTGCTAGCCCATTGTAGACCTGATTTTGGGGGCCTTTGGACCTATTCATGTGGCACTTTGTCCCCCCTGATGGATACATCAGTCAACAACTGACAACTGCCAAGGGTTCCACAACTTGTGCTGCACCCGGACCCCTTGCAAGTATGCAGTAATTGTGGGCCAATTCCGCGAACAGTATGAATTACCTGCAGCAGGTAGGTCAGTTTAGAGTCGCGATAAGGGATGTGACCACCCCCATGCTTCTGGCTTTCAAGCAGCTCTTTTATCACTCGCCCCAGTGTTGACAGCGACTTGTTAATGTGGCAGGCTTCCTTCAGCTGGTGGTTTGTGGCACCAGACATGTTGTTTCGCTCACTCCCTAGGCAGACACAGCACACAGCATTGTATGGGACACTGAAAGGCAAACTGTGCCAACTGACAAGTGGCACAAAAATTGCGATGTTTGCTGCAACATCAGCACATATTCCATTAATTAAGTTTGGCTGGATTCTAAATCGGCTCATGGACAGCGCCCAACGTCCATCGACATAAACATCGTGCTCCAGAGCACACGGCCATTGGCAGACCAGGAACATGAGCAGCACAAGTGGAAATATGAACACTTGCACAGCAGACACCGCTCTAACATTATGTGCCATGAAACCTTGTAACTAAAAGATATGCTGTGGGAGCCCAGGCCAATGCCCACCATACAGGTAATTCGGCTTGCATTGTTAGTTCATGACAAGAAATGGACACTGCTGCTGTAATGCTGACGAGGACGACCTCTACCACAGAGCTTCTGTGCACCCAAGGAAGCCGAACGAGCGTTGACGCATAATTTCAGCAACACCATTGGCCGCCATCTCTCACAACTGCAAATGACGGGCAAGCATTACAGGCGTCTGCTTCCTTGCCAGGGTCCCAGTTATGGAGCATGCCCCCTGTTTGGCTCAATATGAGCCTGGCCTTGGAAGCGTGGAAAGACTGGCACATAGTGTGCATTTGTTTCTCCAAGCCAAGCACAATTTTCACATACCTTGCAACCAGCATCCACTGTCACTGCACAGGTGCTCAGGAGATGCTCGATTGAACATAATGTCCATTGTCAAGAGTAATTTCACACGTAGCTATTGCTCCTGTTGTTGTTGGAATGTATGTTGTTTGTATGTACTGTGAGTGGAATACGTACAATGAAGATATCGATTCCAAGCCAAGGCGGACACCACAATAAGGGGCACTGCACACCTGCCAAGTCAACAAGGTTCAGTCTGGAGTGTCTTGTCTGACATATGCCATCAATCGACTTTGACGTTCGCTCCACAAAGCAGGTGTAAATGTAGTGGGATCGACTTGACTTGCTGTTGGCCCTGGTGTGCGCAGTCTTGCGATTCTGAGCCCCAGTGAACAATAGACGGAGGGCTTCACTGGCTGCAGCACAACAGACCAGCTGCAGTTCAAAAATCCTCCAATCAAGCAGAATAGCTGCAAGGAGTGCAAGTGAGGGTGCTCCCTTTCAGAAAGAATGGTCTTGAACATATTTCGTGATCAGAAGTTCACTGTCATTGTCTGGAGCTCAGGTGGCAAATGATAGCCAGTTTTGACATAAGTACTCACAGGATTGACGCACCGGGAAGAAGACCACTGGTTGCCATACAAAATGCCACGCAGGTGAAGGTAAAGGGCAGCAGCAGGTGCTGCTCTTTGAGACCTCTTTTCCCTGCCCCCTAGGACAGTAGATGAGGTGGCTGCAGCGTATTGGGATAACGTCTGTTTCTGGCCTTTGAACAATGATCAACGGCATCCACGTCTTTTGACACAAATGCCAGGATTCACTGGTTGGGTGATAATCGTGGATGCATTCAAGCACCCTGTAATTGATCAAAATATGCAGGGTGCTGGGAGTGGTGTGAGAAATTGTGATCCAGGGGCATGACCAAGCATTGATAGGATGTTGTGCACCCATCAGCACCTGCAAGGTGCAAAGTCTTTGCTTTCTTTTCCACAGGTGCTGTTTTTGGTAGTACCAAACAATGCCACATACCACAGCCAGAATGTCAAATTTCGTCAAGCTCCACGTGCTAGTTGGGCTCCAAGTGTACTCTTCTGTCGTGCAGGGATACAATCATGGACACTTGTGGCACAACATCTGTACTGTTCCACCACACAAAACGCAAAGGAATGGTGAATCACAATCGAGGTTTGAGCCAAACAACAAACTGGCAGTGCTGATATTGGGCAAGCGATGCACAATTCCACATCGACTGCATCGATTACAGGGTTGGTTGAACATTTTTTCTGGGGGACAAAGCATACCAGTCCTTTCCAAGAAATGAGAAATGATGGTCCAATATATGCAGTACTCTGGATGTAGCCCAGAAAGATGTGTCACTTTCCCAAAACAATAGCAAATTGTAGGTTGTTGTGGTGCAGTTCAATTCATCATCCTGAACCACACAGTCTTTGGCATTGTGGACTGGTCTTATCCCCCTATGTGAAGCTGGATGTGCCCCCAAAACACTAGACACTGTTGGCAGTGTGCGAAAGCGCTCACCATTCTGGCAATGAACCTCTTTCAAGCCATCAACAAAAGCACCCCTCTGGGCATCTTCTCTGACTTGCAAGTTGACCTCTTTGGGGTTCAGCAAATCTGTGATGAGCTCATTGTAGATTTCGAGAACGCTGCACCGCACACTGAAGTGGAGCTCCTCAGGGTTACCGTATTCATCACGTTTGCGTTGCTCTTCTTCAGTGATTTTCTTGAAGAGGTACTGAAACACCCTGGGTGCCAATCCGCCCTGATTCAAGCACAGAAGAAAGTCAACTCCCTGGAGACTGTCCGCATACTAGTAGATCCGATGAGTACACATGTTCTGAAACGACAAAACACAGCCCATGTGTCTGGAAGCCGATGCTGGGCACATGTCCACTTGCAGCCTGTTTCACTAAACTATAATTGTTTGCACTGAACATGGCAAAGTCCATGGATATTACTGATAGCATCGGGCAGATTCTTGTGCACCATGAAGACTTGCTAAGAGGACGAAAGGGTACTTCCAATCTGCATCCACTGGACTGGCATAGTTGCATTAATTGCCAAGATGGGAAGTTGCGGGCAAAAAGTGCAGTACACAGCTGGTGCTGATCGCTGAGGATGCACACAGGCCAGCTTTAATTGATGGCACACTTCACTGCCATGCCAGTCACACCACAACTGCATTGATTAACGCGGCCTCATATTGTCTGTCACTCATATTGTTCCTGCAAGCATGTCAGCAGGAGGATGCCGCTGCTCAGGGCTGGTTTCCAAAGTGGTGCTGGAGCTGTCAACCTTCACCCTGTCAGTCATTTAGGTTTCAAAATCTTCTGCACAGAGATTTTCGGGCACTGTTTACTGCTGTGCCATCAATGTTCTGTTGTGTCCTTCAGATTCGCCCTTCAGATTCGCCTATCCCAAGTGGCACGAGCCTCCAACACTCGCCAGAAGGGGCATACGTGTACTTCACATTGCCGCCTGCCCTTCTTCTCCCACAATCAGAGCCGTTTCAGACCTAACTGCGATCATCCCAGGATGAGAATGGGTGGCTCGCAGCCAATTTACCCACCTCCACTGCCAAGCGTTTTCTGCCACACTCAGGATCGCCGATCATGGTATGGGTCTTGCCCGCCCCCGTTTGTCCGTATGCAAATATTGTAGAGTTGTAGCCGCCCACCACATTTTCAATGATTGGGATGCCAACCTCTGCAGCAGCACAGCCAGTCTGCTGAGACATGCAAAGGCTACAGGGTGGCCATCAGCTGCCCACCACTCTTTCTGGCACATGACATGATAGCTTGACTGCAATGACTAAACCAGGGTGACAATGTTATGGAGACAGATGCTCACAAGCATGCCAGCATGGGCATTTTACACGCTGGTGGCACAGAATTCGCATTCAGGCATCCATCTGCCGCCACTCGAAGTAACAGCGTACAGGCGACCACCCCTTCCAACGTGTCAAAGTTAATTCCAGCAACGACAGCCTGCCATTCTCCACGTCAAAGAGATGCAACACGTTCCAAAATTCCCCATCTGCATCGTGCATAAGTTGGTCTGTCTGGACCATCACCGCGGCTGGCGCCAGTCTCCCAGCCAGCCCCATCTTCGCCCTGCACACTCTCATCTCTGCGCTGTACTCTCTCGCTCAGCATTCATTCACACGTGGTGCTTGCCCACTTGCGCACACCATCTCACATAGCATGGAAAAGAGTCTTGCAAGCTCAATTGCTCACCAGAATGCTGCCCACTGCAAGCCGCGTTTTCTGTCCTGCTGGCAAGGAACCTCCCCCACCTTCGAACACCTCCGCCTGCGTGCTCGTCTCTTGGTGCACGGAGTCGAAGGTGAACGTGCACGCCTCCTCGGACCTCTGCTTCTTCTTGTCGGGGCTGATCGTCAGCGTGTAGTCGTCCATGCACGTCACGGCGCGCGTGCAGTCCTCTGCGCACGCCAAGCCACGATGTGGCCGCCGCTGAGCCGCGCATCAAAACCGCAGAGAGGGCAAGCAAACGGCAGCACTCGCCACCGGGACCACTGAGGCCAGCGTGCAACTGCCAGGGGCAAGGAAAACAGGGAACATGGTCGTCTGTCAGGATGCGGAGGTTTTCTCGGGGCAGGAAAGGGACGCACCTGCCAGGACTTCGGATTGGTTGAGCGGCCGAATTCGGATGATCACCTGGTTCGGCAAACGGAAGGGGCTGAACTCAGTCTCAACCCTCTCACCGGCGAGTGGGCCGCCCCCCACGCCCACAACGGCGCTCATGCCGCGATGGAAGAGGCCGAACGCCGCAGACGGCCACCCCTCGCCCAAACTGGGGCGATGCATCTACCGGGGTCCGAAAACCGGGCCCCATTTTCGCCCAACATGCCCTTAACCCGTGCGGATCGCCGCTTCTCATCATCGACGGCCTTCTGCGCGACGCGCAGCGCCAAACGACCAGCAGGGCCGCGCGCCGCAGCTCGAGGGCTCGTGCCGAGCCATCAAAGCCCGCCCCACACGCCCTCCCACCGCCCAGCGCATCCCCGACAACTTCCGCGGCCGTTCACCGGCCCTTCCCTCCCCGCGGCGCACCCCGATCCCCGACGTCCGGCGATCCGCCCGCCCCCACCGCTCCGCCCGCCCCCCGCGACCGGCCAGCAGCCCGCGGCACGCCCCCCTCGCTCCTCTTGGGGTCCACCCCCCCACGGCAATCCCCTCTCACAAAACTAACGCGAAAATTCTACCGACCACACGCAAAATTGCGCTCGTTATGCGACCAGCCGCCCCCTCTCCCACCCAGGAAGAATTGATTCGCGATCAATCCGTCCCAGAGATCACGGGCAAGAGCCCCGCACCTTGACGCCCTCCCCGGTCTGCTGCGGCGGAGCCTGGGCGGATGACGTCGCCGGCCGCACCAGTGGTTCCGGCGTGGCGCTCTGCGCCGTACGCACGTCGCCCCGCACGCCCGTGGCCGACGCAGACCGCCGCTTCTGTGGCCGGCTGGCGCCCGAAGTGCTGGACCCCTCCCGGGGTTTCGACGACAGCGCCGCGCGGTACCCCTGCGGCGTGGAGCGCCCGCCCATCTCCGGCGTCGATCGCCCCGAGGTCCATGAATCGCTGCCGGAGCCGTTGGCCGCGTCCGCGCCGCGCCGCGCCTTGGCTCGCTGCATGGCGTCCGCAGGCGCGCGTTCCGGCGCGCCGGGTGGGCTCTGCTGGGCTTTCCAAGATAATTGAGAGGCGGGGGGGCATTTTTTGTAGGGGGGTGTGCTCCGGAGGAGTTCCGATTGCCGTGGGCGGGGAGCGGGATGGCGTGGCAGGAGTTGGGGGGGAAAGCGTGACCTTCCTGGGGCACCGGCTGCCTCCTTCCCTGTTGTGTGAAAATGGACGACGATGAGGAGTCATGTGCACTCCGAGGTTGACTAATACGTTTGACATCGTCGAGCACAGCAAGTCCAGCAAGCGCGCGCTTGCGGCGGCACTTCGATCGACGTGGGTGGATGAAGAATGAGTGTATCTTAACTTTAACTCTAGATTATCTTGCGTCACCTTGTTCCAGCTCGTGACGAAGCCGACGTCCTTCCCGTTGCTCAGCTCCCGTTGCTCCTCCTCTCGTTTCCTTTCAGTTTCGTTCACGGGCTTTGCCCAATCGCGCCCCAACGGTTTGTCATTGCCCCAATCCGGGGATGGGCCACATGGTCCGCCCCCGCCCGGAACGGAGAGGAGCATATGCCTTGCGTTTCAAGTGTCAATGGCCCTTTAGCTTTTTCGTTATGGTTGCAACTCCGGACTTGGCGCTCCACTTCAGCGCCTAGCCGCGCATACCATTTGGCTGCCATATTCCTCCCGGACGAGGCGAGAGGGGCGTTTTCAGGCATACCCAACCGTTCGGACCATGGGGAATGCATTCTTAGGAAGTGCAGGATACCCAGGAAGAGCTACTAGGAGAGCCAGTTGTTGCAGAGCGAGTAAAGGAGTGGATGGTGCGAGAGATGAGTGAACAGTATCAAGTTGCATGGGAGGCTCATAGGGCGCGGTTGATGCAGATCGCCGAGAAAAGATTACCACAGTAGAAGCAGCGAATTGAACAAAAGTTTGTGGATTGGTGAGCACGACGTCCGGCAGAATGGCGAGAAGGGACATTGCAGCCAAAGGGTGTGGTCACTTTCTTGGAATGGTTTGCCCGTACTCATCACAACCAGGCTCGAACCTTTATTGAGAATGGCGAAAAAGTGATGCACTTTAACACTGTGGAGAAGGCAGTGAGCCACCTGAGTAGCTTGTTGTGCCAGAATGGACAGGAAGAGGAGTGGCAAAATTATGAGGGTAAATGGATTCCATGCAGGTTATATTGCGCCCGAGCTTGGAAAAAGTCCTACCGTAAATCGTAGTAGGTGCAAGGGGTAGGTGAGAGTAGCGTTGAACCATTAAGAGTGGAATAGTATCGAAACATGGTCGAGGCCTTTCATCTTGAGATCGAAGGGGGGGGAGACCCACTCAGACTAGTTTGAGTCGCGCGCGATATGCTTTTGCTAACATTTTTGTAGGAGACAAAGTAGCGTGATATGACAAGATTGTGGGTGTGGGGCTCTTGCCCTCTTTGCGCCATGAACCTGCCTCGCCGGACACCGAGGTCCTTACGGGGACCTAGGCGAGACCACCCCGACCTACTCCCATATCTTATACTATAGTAACATAAGGTCTGGTTGGGGTGTCTCCATATCTTGGGCAGGGTGTCCCCCACATCAGGCCAATGTGCGCAACATTCATCCTCCTTAGGGAGGTGGGACATTCCCGTCCTAGTGCATTGGGAGTAAACGCATGCACCCCAACGAATCTTACTCGCATCCGTAATCACAGTAAAGAACCCAGCAGTAGCAAAAGAGGGGATAGCACACTGAACAAAATGGCAATGCAACAAAGAAAGAAAATACCGCCATTGGCCCAATGAAGGGTGTGCTTGCACTTCCCTCAAAGCGTTTAACACCAAATGCCCTTGCCAAATAAAACGAGCAGAATGGTTCAACTAACCACAGATCTTGCGCCAACTAGACTAAGTCGTAGGCATAGGCGCCTGGTCAAATTGAGTTAAGACATAGTTGGTAGGCTCTAACCTGTAAGAAGGTAATGAAACCCTCAAGTACTCAAAGCGGTCTATGCAAGATTGGCACTTATCCCAATTGACATACCACCTGTCCCTCTGTAACTCCTTTAATAAAATCTCCTAGTCCCGCTGGTGTTGGGGCTCAGATTGAGAAAGTAAAAGAATATCATCCATATGAAAAATGATCTGAGAGTGTAAGTGTTGCGAAACCCGCCAAACGGCCGGCCACAATGCCCACAAAAACTCATGTGAGTTGTTGGAATATCCGAAAGGCAAACACATAAACTCAAAGAACCTTCCTGCTATAGCTAAACCCACAACCTTCCACAACTTGGGAGCCATCTGCACTTGCAGATAGGTATAACAAGCTTTCGTGCAAAATGCCAGTAAGGGGTCACGGAAAACAACAAAACGTGCATTTTGCGCACAGGCGGAATGGAAGAAAAATGCCACAACAACAAACCTGCGCACAAACAGGCCATTTTTGGGTCACCCAACGCACAGGGAAACCGCGATGTTGCACACAAACAAAATCAAGTTGGTGCTGGCCAAGGACACCCACAACCACCTCACAATCAATCCATGTGACCCACAAGTCATGGGTGCCACATGGCCTTTGTGGCAACGATTACAATTGGTGTTACACGCAAAGGAAATTACAAATTGCTAGGTCTAGAAATGGCCCCTCCCCCGTCTAGCACATTTCATCCCAACGCTCCAGCTCCGCTAAGAGTCGCCGTTTGTACTGGGGGTGGATGTACCCCCTCCTAGCTCCATTAGCCTCCAACCAAACGTCACAAATGATGTTGTGGGAGGACACCTCCCCCTGTATTTGCCGCCCTTCCACCCAGCGCCCGTTCAGTTGGGCATTGTCCGAGGCGTCGAAGCGGAGGGTCCCCAAGTTGTAGGGGGGTTGGGGCTTGAACTCGCTCTCGTAATATGCGACGGTGAACACTTTCACCGCCGCGGGCCCACACCCCTCTGTGGCCCTGGCCCCCTTGACAATGGCGACGTCAAAGCGCTGGCCCCATTCCTTGGCGTCGGCGTCGGACATAGCGATGGCCACCTGATGGCCGGCCTCTATGTCCCGGGCGGCGTCGAAGGGGATGTACTCTCTGTCGTTGGGGAGCGCGGAGAGGTGCCCGAACAGCAGGGGGCGCTCCCCGGGCGCCGGGCCTATGTCCCTGCATATTGCACCAACGGCGGGATGGTGAAGGCACCATGGCAAGGGAAGGGGGGGGGGGGAATCAACGCGGGCGGATGGAGCGTGGCGCGCGGATGCGCGCGTACCTTGCGATGGGGGCAGGGACGCTAGAGGCGGTGGTGGGCGCGCTCCCGGCCGCAGTGGAGGGGGCAGCGAGCGAGGCAGGGGACAAGCTGTCCAGCCGCAGGGTGGCCCCCTCGTCGATGGCGAACGTGGGTCTGCCACTCCCGTCCAGCAGGAATGTGCGCTCGTGCGAGGCAATGAAGGCCTCCCACCAGCGCACGGCCCCGGCCATCCGGTGGAGCCTGCGTTGTTTGATGTCCTCCGCGGCGGCGGGGTCCCCACACATGTCGAGTTGGCGCCTCCACCTGGCGAGCTTCATGAGGACCCTCTTCTTGACGTCCTCAAAGTCTTGAAGTGCGGCCCGTGGCTCCCAGCGCAGGTCGGTGAACCTCGGAGCGGGTTTCCCTGTGACGAACACCGGCCACCCGCGGCCGTCGGGCATGCCCACCCAGGGGCAGTCCTCCCTATCGTGCTCGCGGGCGTACACGACGGGCACCCCCCCCTCCAAGACGAACTTGAATGAGTGGAAGCACCTGCCCAAAGGAGCACCCCGCAGTGAAGCACTGTCGAGTCGAGAGGGCGTCACTGTGGCCGGTGCCGTCCGCGTAGGCACCAAGCCGCAAAAAGCGCACTGGAAAGTCAAACAAAAATTGAGGATTGCAACCGATGATCGCGAGGATTTGCGCGCGCTGAGCGCACAAACCCTCCTTGGGTGCCACTAGGTTTCTGTTAGCAACAGACACCAAGCGCATCCGCGATTGGGAGAAGAGAAGGATGGTGCGGATGCCACGACTGCAGGCAGGGGCCAAATCCCACCAGCCCAACGAAGTCGCGCAGCGCCCCCGACAAAGAGGGCAGCAAACCCGGCGACGGAGGGAAGGCCCAACCCGCAATCCGAGTTGCGCGGTGGGGCGATTGGGGGAGAAAACAGCATTGCGCAGGCTGGATTGAGGCGATGCAGGGAACCAAGGCGCGCGCTGAAGGAGCAACTTTGCACTTGCGCGCGCGACGCGCGCAAATGCAGGCCAGTTCCACACTCGAAAAGGTGCGGACAGGAGAGGTCGCCCGGGCCGGCCGCCGCAGGCGCACCTCTTGTTGTCCCTCCCAGTTCCGAGGCCTCTGAATGTGTGCATCCGGACGCCCGCATCCCCATCCTCGGCGTCGTCCTCCTCCTCCTCGATACCCCGCCGGCGGTCGCGCTTTTACCTGAGGAGGCGCCTGAAGTCGGCTACGCGGTCCACCCTTGTGTTCACCTTCCGCAAACTGCCCACGCTCGCGTGCTCCCCCCACGCCCGCTGCACCACGCTCATCAGGTCCTCCAGGCACAGCGCCCCCTCCCGGTTGATGGCGGAGGCCACCAGGCTGAAGGTGGCGTCTATCTCCTGGTGCGTGTGGCCCACTGGCAAAAAAAAGACGCGCACCTCCTTGAACACCCGCTCCCCCACCAGCATGGCGCAGAACCCGAGGAGGTAGTGGTTCTTGTTGTCCTTCGCCATGTTGTCCATCTGGATGTGCAGCACGGGGGGCAGGCTAGGGTGGGGGGGGAGGAGCCCGGGCGCAGCTGCGTCGCAGCGGGTGACGTCCCTGATCATCTTGCAGAGGTAGGTGAGCGTCAGGTTGCTGGACGCCGCCCACTCCGGGAACGACCAGAACCCCCACCATCCGTGGCCGTAGGCAATCCCGCCCAATAGCTTGGTGGTCAGGGGCAGCCCCAC